CATTGCGCCGAAGCTATAGGGCTGACTTCGGTAAAATGATGTGACGTGAGGTGCCAAACTGCGGAAAATGGCGGAGGAAATATTATATGATTTAGCATGAATTATTATCATGAATAATAATAACTACTTATTTACCTCTCAGTGTATGAGGCAACTTAAAAAAGTACATTCTGTGTTTTTATTATTATTTAGGCAGTTAAATACAGCACAGTATTTAGTATTCCATCCATCCATCCATCTTCCATCATACACAAGAATACGCGTGCGTGAGTCAATGTTCGCTCGTATGTGAGGCCTTGTTGAATAGTATCCTGTAGGTGGGCCATCGTGCGTGTTTTGTTTTCGATGTAAACTCGCGGAGATGAACAGGCCTGGGGGCCTGGCACTCCCGATTAAAAAATGAAGAAATGTTAAAGATTATTTTTATGCAACAAACCTCAAACCACCTCAAAACTTCGCCTTATTTTTGTTTAAATACAATCAATCGTCATATCTGGGGGCACGGCAGTGCCCCCACCAAGTCGAGCTAAAAAGCGGCACGGCCGTACCATCCTTTTCTCGAAGCAANTCTATCGATAACAAAATGTCGATACTTTATTAACATAACGTGGCATGACATAACGACTTAACGTCAACAGAATACGACGTTTGACAGTAAGCCTTTAACCTTAACGTATATCGTCGGTTATGTTATTATGATATAATGATGAAAAGTTGTGAGATCCATGTAATACCAAGTCCAGGCCAGGAAATCTTTAACGTTTTACATAAATATATTGACTTGGCCATCGCACTAAATAATTTAATTTACACGTGTTTTCATGCGATGGCCAAGTCAATATATAAGTAAAACGTTAAAGATTTCCTGGCCTGGACTTGGTATTACATGGATCTCACAACTTTTTACCGTAGAACAACTGAGTTGCGAGACTTGGTTTTTTTGACAAGTATTGTTTTTGATGGGATTTCGATATTGTGGAACCTAGCTAATTCATTTTCGTAACATTGGCATGACTGCTTTGGTTTACATGACAGGTCGACCGTCGACGTCCTTCAGAGGCTAAAAAAAAGCCTCACTGCGGAGGCTAGGGAGAGGGGTGAGGGTGTGTTGGTTGTATTATTCGATTAGCCAACGCTTTCAATACCATCCCTCATTCCACCATACTCTAGGCACTTAAACATCACAGAGTGCCTCAGTACCTTTGAGCGCTGCTGGCCGATTACTTACGGGACCGCGAAGTCCTGTATGTTAACAGAGACGGCCAGCTTAAACGGCGCGGCGTGGCTAGCGGGATTCCGCAGGGTTCGGTGCTCGGTCCGCTCTTGTGAAACCTAGGTACGGGGCGTCCTTCTCGCGGGTATGAGTGTCATATGCTATGCAGATGACACTCTGGTCACTGCCCGGGGGAAGATATTTGGGGCCGCGGCATGGCTGGCGTCGGCGGGCGGCACAATAGTCGCTCGCAGAATACGACGCCTCGGCCTGAAAGTCGCGCTGGAGACGGCTGAGGCCCTCTTCTTTCCGGGGCCTTGCCAGCGCACCCCTCCCGACGCCCACATTGTGGTTGAGGACGTTAGGATTGATGTCAAAGGCCAGATGAAATATCTGGGCCTCACGCTTGACGGGAGGTGGCAATTTAGCCCGCACTTCAACGCGTTCTGAGGAGCATGGCGCTGTATGGCGCCCCAATCTGGGCGGACGCACTCAACAAGAAGGAGAATGCTGCCCTTCTGCGCAGGCCCCAGCGGGCCATAGCGCAGAAAGTCGCAAGGACCTACCGCACAGTAGGGCATGCTGCGGCGTGCGTCCTCGCTGGTACTCCTCCTTGGGAGCTAGGAGGAAGGAAGACATGACTCGCGCGCAGTTTGGCCGCCGCACTCTGGACGCCATTGGTCCTGTTCTGGACCAATGGTTGGAACGACCGCATGGGTTCCTCACGTTCCGTCTGGCGCAGGTGCTGACCGGGCATGGCTGCTTGCATGGGGTGCGGGGGCACCCTTGTCACCTCCGTCTGGCGGGAACGGCTTGGTGTTTCGGGCCATTCCCGTCAGACCCCCACAAGGGGGCGTGTAGGGTCCGCCGTGTAGGCGAGCTGTCGCCGGTGGTGTCGCGGAAGTCTAAGGCTACGGCCCGATAGTCGCGACACCCCCACTTGGGCGAAGACGGAACGCCGCGGAGGTTTTAGTGGGTATACCCCGTCCTTTTCAGGACGGAGCAGCGCTCTTTTTAGGGCGCCGGGAGTCCCACACACCACCCTGTCCTCCGGCAGTGGTGACGGTGCGCAAAGCATTTCCTCCGCGACAAAAAAAGGGGGCCCGAAACGAGCTGTGCCTAGGGGCCCCGAGATGGTTAATCCGGCCCTGCCCAGAATGCAGAGTCCTCAGCACTGGCCCATTTATTGTCCTGAAGCAGTGGTAGGGTTAATACTGGGACGTGGCAAAGTGCTTTTTTAAAGCCTATTTACAGAAATAAATAAGTTTTATGAGTTATTTTATGCCATTGTGTTCAATTTCTGTAGGTATGTACCTCTGTCACATGCCTTTGTAATTTTGTATGAACTAAATAAACATTTTTTATTTTATTTTATAATTTACATGTTTTATGCAAAAATGTTTCCAAAATGACAACTAAATATTTATTTATCGATGCAAATAATTATTAATTTTATCCGGCTGATGGTTTATTTATTTATTTAGAACTTTCATACACATAACACTGTACTTATGGCGGAATTAATGCCAGCCACCTACAAGGTGGACCGACGACATCGTAAAGATAGTAGGGAAGCGCTGGACGCAGGCCGCTACTAATCGATCAACGTGGAAAGCATTAGGGGAGGCCTATGTTCAGCAGTGGACGTCCTATGGATGAAATGATGATGATGATGATGAATGCCAGTCGGGATTCTCCTCCAGTCAACCTTAGGGTCAAATTGAGAATTCTTCGCATACCGGAATATAATGCTAGGAGACCGGGTTCGATCCCCGTAAAGGGCAAAGGAATGTCATCATCATCATTTCAGCCATAGGACGTCCACTGCTGAACATAGGCCTCCCCCAATGATTTCCATAATGACCAGTTGGTAGCGGCCTGCATCCAGCGCCTTCCTACTACTTCTATGAGGCCGTCGGTCCACCTTGTATCCACAAGTCTACCCTACGCTGGGTTTTCCGGTACGTGGCCTCCATTCCGATCCGTAAACGTACTTAAAACTGACTGACTTACCTTTTTTTTGTTACGGGGAAAAAATGCGTTGAATCGCATACCTACCCTGCGGGGACAGGGTATGTTATGTGGGGCTCAACAAGTCAGAAGGACGAGGCATACCCACTAAAAAGAACCCGGTGCTCCGTCACTCGCCATAAGTGGGAGGAGACTGTGGGTTTCTGGACAAACCTAAGCCAAGTTACTATACTATGAGGACATCATTATGTTCTTATCAACCCTTACCCATATGACATGCAATAAATTATTTGAATTTGAAACTTGTGGGTGTTCTTTACGAGGTCGAATCAGAAATGAGGAGATCCGTAAACGAACTAAAGTCGCTGACATAGCCCGATGGATTAGCAAGCTGAAGTGGCAATGGGCAGGGCAGTAAACTAATAAATGAAAAACAAAAAAAAGGAATTCCAAGAAACAAAAAAATGTAAAAAAAGGTAAAAAAGTAAATGAAGGTGGCTCAGCACGTGCTGCTAAGGACTACCTGTCCAAGACATCACTGATTTTCAGCTACCTCACTTCTCATGAGGTGTTGATGGAGAAAATGGTAACGGGGGATTACGGGACTATTCGCACCTCTCGTTCCCACCGCTGCAACTCCTGTGTAGCCAGGATCTACAGCTTGACCGCCAATAACCCAACCAGTGAAGGCCAACTTTGTCCCGGGGAAGTTAAGTAACTGTCATTGGACCCGCAGCGAAATGAATCTGAAGAACATAGGAGGAGTTCGAACGTTCACGGGGGCGAATAATATGAGTAAAAAACGACGCTGAAAAAGTATAAAACAAGATTTTCAGAATACTGAACTGAACAAAGTTGCTAATGTAGTTGCATAGTAATTTTCATGTTTGGAAAACCGCAGTCACACGTTGTCAAAGTGCTACGGTAGGTACTGATGTAACGTGTGACTACGCCTTTCCAAACATGAAAATTACTATGCAACTACATTAGCAACTTTGTTCAGTTCAGTATTCTGAAAATCTTGTTTTATACTTTTTCAGCGTCGTTTTTTGTCGTAGTTGGGTTTTAGTTTTCTTACTTTTTATTTATTATTTGTACTATTTTGGTATTAAAGTGTATTTGTGGCGCATAATACGAACAAAAGTTAAATTGATGAACTAATAAGTAGTAAAGAAGCTATGAACGAAAAGATGTGAATTATATGCAATCAGCCCATGAATACAGGTAAAATCACAAGCAAATGCTAGTAATATATATATATTCAAAATGTACAAGTAAAGCGCTTTCAAATGATACCAAACACGGCATATTTATCTTAACTTTTTTTTTTTCTCTGTATGTTTTGTCCGATAGAGGGCGCCACATTAGATTTTGTGAAACCTCATATAGCCTATAACCAGCGGACAATTAAGACGCTTCTAATGATATGTCATTTGTCGAATTCTGATAAGTAGTTTAGAAGTTACGAGGGAACAGATGAACATACATACATACATACATACATAGCCTGTCAAAATCATAACCCTCCTTTTGCTTTGCCGTAGTCGGGTAAAAAGAGAAATAATTTAAACTTTTAACCTTGAAGTAAAAACGTGCCAAAAATATTTGTAAAAAATATCCAATGATCGGAGTAAGAAATGTGATCACATCTAAATATGTGTTTATCCAGCTGTTCCCCTCCAATTATCTATGTTATTTACTCACCAACGTATTGGCTATATATCAAATTAAATATAAGCATCAACATCTGTGTAATTAATACAATATTTGGAATAAAATTAAAATTTCCTTGCTATATAAAGTGGGGGTTTTGGGTGCTTCTTCACATTCGGTTGTCGCTCTATCGTCAGCAAAATGATCGGTCTTAAGCTGGTAGCCATCGCGTGCCTGGTAAGTTCCTTTTATTGCACTTTGCACTCCCTCCAGTGCCTTCCAGTCGAACCTTTACTTCGAACTCCTCCTATGTTCTTCTTATTAATTTTGTTGCGGGTCTAATGACAGTTTACTCTCCCCCGGGACAAACTTGACCTTCACTGGTTGGGTTTTATTGGCGGTCAAGCTGTAGATCCTGGCTACACAGGAGTTGCAGCGGCGGGAACCAGAGGTGGGAATAGTCCCGTAAATAAATATTTTTCTTTGACGACGAAAAGCCTCTGTGGTCTAGTGGTAAGAACCGGGTTCGATTTCCGGCTTGGGCAAAATTTTCTACTACACTCGCGAAAATAATTTTCGAATAATGTTTCCCGGTTTCGCAACATTTTTTATTTTTTTATTTTAGGGACTTTTACATAGCATTTTTCTTTACTGCTCCGCAAGTCATTGTCTTTCTGAATAGCAACAATGACAGCATTGTTGTATTTCAGCAGTTGGAGGTAGGATAGCCAGTTCCACTGTGGTTGAGGATTCCAGTAGCTCGCTTCTATCTTTGGCTTGATCATCACATTCCATAGATCAGTTAAAGCAGGGGTTCCCAAAGGGGAGGCGCTAGGAGCTTTAAAGGGGGGCGCGGGCTAACTATGTAGTTAAGTATTAAAAACCTGCGACCCCTGAGAGGAGACATTCCAGACTGCTCGATACGACCACTAAATAATCTGGACTGGAGGATGGGAGGTGCTGATTTTTTATGGTCGAAACTAAAGAGGGCGCATCTCAAAAAAGTTTGGGAACCCCTGAGTTAAAGGCCAAGAGGTCCCCCGTTGTGGTTAAAACGACCGTTAGAAGTAAGATAGGCAGTTCCTCCTTTGATTTGATTTGTATTTGTTACAGTTCGCCTCCGCGTACTCGCAGCCAACGCTCGACTTAGGCAGTGCCTTAACGGGTGACGTAACCTCAAAAGCTGTAGACACAGTTGAGGGTGCAGGCAAGACTGTCCTGGATACTGGTCTAAAGGGTGCCGGTAACCTTGGCGGCGGTTTGGGTCTTGGCGGCGGTTTGGGTCTTGGTGGCGGCTTAGGCGGCGGGCTGGGCGGTTTGCTGGGCCAAGTCCTTAAGGCACCCCTGAAGCTTGCAGGCGGTTTGCTCGGTGGATTGGGAGGAAAAGGCGGCCTCGGACTCGGGGTAAGATCACAAGATTTTTTCTTCTCAGCACTTGCCGTATGTTAATCTCGAAGCGCTGGTAGGGCCCAAAAGATAAGAAGACACGTAAAGTGCCCCATAAGGACCTTTTTTATCCCAACTATCCCAACTATCCCAACTAATATTATAAATGCGAAAGTAACTCTGTCTGTCTGTCTGTCTGTCTGTCTGTCTGTCTGTCTGTCTGTCTGTCTGTTACGCTTTCCCGCTTAAACCTCGCAACCGATTTTGATGAAATTTGGCATAGAGATAGTTTGAGTCCCGGGAAAGAACATAGGATAGTTTTTATCCCGGTTTTTGAAACAGGGACGCGCGCGATAAAGTTTTTCTGTGACAGACAAAATTCCACGCGGGCGAAGCCGCGGGCGGAAAGCTAGTTAACTATATTTTGACGTTCATAAGTGCCACTTGTGGCACAGAATAATAATAAGTACTACTTTGTGGTCTAAATTGCATAAAATATTTTTGATTTTGAAAGATTAATTTTATTTGTATAGGCTAGTTTCCTAAAAAGAATCTTTTTTATCTTTTTAAAAGATACTTTCAGTCCGTCAATTACATTAGCAAAAAATATTGGACACGTTATATTTTTATTTGTCAAGTTATGATGCGTTGAAGTTCCGGGTGACGTCACAAAGTGTTACTATTTTAATCATGCCTTGAAGTCACGGACCTCGTTGAACTTTGGCGCGCTTTATCTCTTTCAAATTTTCATTAGAAAATGTGAAAACACGTGTCGAGTATTTTTTGATTTGACAGATGGACCAATTTAAACTCTTGCTTTTTTACCCAAGAAATATCCCTATTTGGTCCTAATGGATAGTCCCATTTACCCCATGTTAAGCTAAGTTATGACAAGTTTAAACTGAAGTAAGGTCATAACCACAGATATGGATAGATGCAGCATGTGTCAAAAATTGTATGAAGCCGAGCGTGCCACTTTTTAAACGTCATTAGTGTCATTTTAGCGAATTTTAGTGATTGCCGCAACGTAAAAGTAATCATATCATCGTACTGCATTCGCAAAGTCATCGAATGATATCGTGTGACTCGATTCAAAAATTAATTAATTCCGATAAAACTGATATTTTGTTAAATTTATAGCTAGTCTGACTGTGGATTAAAATAATTTTGTAGCGGTAGACGTTATTCTACAATTCTACATTATTAATTTGCAAATAATATTTTTGTTGTGCCTAATGTTTATGAAAGTAATGATCGTTATTCCATTATGTTAAATAGTACTACTAGTAATTCATACTTAATTCCATACTTTTAAATATCCTAGTAAGTAAATGACCTAGTTTCATAAAATAAAGACTATTTTACTCAAGCTTTTTATTTTTAATAAATGCAAAAATGCGTAGTTTTGCCAATACGTTTTCTTTCATAAAGTTAAGTCAGGTACCTAGTTTTGAAGATATTTCTAAACGACAAAATCTCGGCCGTCGTATACATAGACTAGTAATAGTGTATACTGCGATGACTGACCTAACTTCTTGATTTGTATATTTCGACGTTATACAGTGCACTCTGTCTTCCGCGATCACTGATCTAACTTGTTTTATAATTCTTCTACTGCTACTTTATTCTAATTAATTACATATTTGTTACTCGTTGCTGTTAATTACAATTCTCAATCCGTAAATAATTTCTTCTCTCTACCGTGTTCGTACTACTGTCCTCGTAAAATCATCGTATCCGATTGTTGTAATCGGATTACATGAACATCACTCGACCATGTATGTCCATTTGGACATATCGGAATGGCACGCTTTGACTAGCAACTTGCTGTATCTACTCTAATCCATATCTGTGGTCATAACAGACTTATCAACTGTCAACCGCGAGGCGAGGCTTTTATAGTTCCAAAATATTGAACTGTCCTATCCATGACATTGACAGTGGGGCGCCACCGTCAATACCGGATCGCTGGTTCCGATTTTTGCCATGTTGGAAACCTTATAGTTGAACGATGGTAGCGCCCCCCTGTCATTGAGTTTGGTGGGACAGTTCAGCGTGGGTCATCTATACGCTACGGTGCGGATGACGTGTGTTGACAAATAATACTACCGCCTCGAGTTGATATGGTCACGATCCCTTTCCGGGTAGATAAGTGTGCTGCGTCCTTAAAATTGAGCAAAATACCTTTTGTAAATGTAAATTTTTACGTTGAGAGATTTTTAACTTTGTAAATGTTAGTTTTTTGCTGGTGTTTTAATTTTATTTTGGTAAAAAACAATAATATTTTACAGGCAAACGGCAAACTTGGTCTCTACGGAATCTTCAGTGAGTAGATGTTTCTAGACTTTTAATTCTGTAATCAGTTTTCAGCTTTTTTAATAGTACATTAAATTTTCACGGCACACTGACACCAGTACCTCTAGCATGAACAACTTTCGTCTTCGAATCGTTTGCGTATTCGATAAAATTCGAAACTCAATCTTCGAATTAAACGATAACGTGACAATTTTGATTCTCAAAATAAGTTTCGTGCAACTACATCTCATACTAAGTTCACTTTACGACACGTTCACAAGGGCGCTGTTCAAAAGATTTAGTACGAAAACTGCAACAGCGCCCTTGTGAACCTGTCGTAAAGTGAACTTAGTATGAGAAATGGTTGCACGAAACTTATTTTGAGAATGAAAATTGTCACGTTATCCTTTAATTCAAAGGTTGAGTATCGAATTTTGTCGAATACGCAAACGATTCGAAGACGAAAGTTGTTCATGCTAGAGGTACAGAGGTACTTTTCTATGGACATTTATAACTAAAATTGGTCATAATATAACTAATAAACTTTTCTATGGACATAATAATTATTAGGCTTGCTCGATGCGTCTTAGGCCCAGCTCAGTGAGTTGGTTGTCCTTATTTTTGGGACACCTGTATTAAAATAGAAAGATTACGATGTTTTTATTGTTTGTTTTGAATACCTACCTTTATTTTGATTTATTAATGTTTTTAATATTTTCAGATGCCCTCGCTCGTGGTCTTACCAGTAAGTAAAAGTACTATAAATTAAAATTCTTTAATGAAAGCCATTTTTAGAGCATTATTCACGGTCAAAAATACAAATATTGGTTAAAATAAATAAAAAATTAGCTAGCCATTATTACGCGACTTTGGCCTGTTTTCACTATCCTAATTTTTAAGTGACCCATATGAAAACAAATTTCTGTTATGTGTTACCATAGGGGTCACTTAAAAATTGGGGAAAAGTGTCGATGAAAAGCAAAAATAGACTAAAGAATTAATATTTTTTTATTTATTAAATTAGGTTGACGACTAAAAAGTTTCAATCTCTTTTTATTATTCTTTCTTTGCACCAAATAGGTACTGTGCCCTTTAATTTACGATGGACTAACGTATTTTTTATTTTTTTAGGCCTCTCTGTCGACTTGGGCGCCCTCTTGGAAGATCTTAAACATCTGAGTAAGTGTTTTAAAATAATTTTACCGTAACAAATAAAGAAAGCTTGCCAATATTTATTTGTAATAAAAGTTCAATCTTCAATTGTGACAAAACATGTAAAAAAATTTTTTTTACTATTAGTCTTATGAATGGTAAATCGTAAATGTTGAAAAAAAAAACAAAAAAAATGAATGATTTTATGAAGCCTTATTTAATTATGTCTCATAATCTTTTGACGCGCCTCGTAATATCGAATAAGTAGAATATAATAAAAAAGCAACTTAACCCTTTACGGCGCTCAATTGCAGTTCTGCATCATACCACTTGAACTCATAGAATCTTTCAAACAGTAACAAAAATACCTTATAACGTAGTGCGGCATATCTGCAGCAAAGCACCCTTACGAGTTAGTTAACTCTGTTTGTGCTAGATGGCGCTATTTTATTTTTGTGATCACCTAAAGTGAGAAACTTGTAAAATCCGGTTTGTTTTGTTCGGTGGTGATTTTGATTCTTTGTTTTTCTGGTGTTAATGAAAATATTGATCTGAAATTGGTGTGGAGTGAGGGTAAGTTATTGGTTTTCAATAATTTGATATATTTGAAATGATTTTTATTGTATTTACAGAATTAGAGGACAATTTTCTTATGATGCAGTTATGCATCATTGCGCTTTAAATTTATCATTTTTACTATGTGTCTAATATCTATCTCTTTTCTTCTAGACCCATTATGACTTCGAGGCTTCCACATCCAGGTACCAGGACCCAATCTTGGACGACTGAGGACTTGGAGAATATTCTGGACCAATGGGAAAATAGTGATGATGGCTCAGATTTCTCAGACAACGATGATGTAGCTGATCCATCATACACATTGGAACCTAATGAACAGAGAACTCTGATGAGGAACCAGAAGTACTGGAGCCAGAGGACAAGAACATCTTGCCGCCGTACTTTGAGGCTGATAGCAGCACTACAGCTCAGCCATGTGATACATTGCAAGCTGTTCCTGCCCCTAGTTCCAGTTCTGCCACCATATCAAGAAGCGCGCTTATCCCTAAAGGCAAATACACTATGGAAAAATGAAAACTTAGAGCTTAGTGTAAACCAGATAAGGTTCAGAAGATCTTATGACCTGGCTAATGAAATCCAAGAGCTGCCGTGAGATTTTAGCTTTGGAAAACGTTAGGTGAAACCGCATTCTTAACTGTAAGCTCCCAGAAGGAAAGCAGCTAAAAGGATAACCTAGAGGAACATCAGTTGAACAGGTTTCAAATTATGATGGCGTTGGTATATCCTTGGTAGCTTGGAGAGTTAATAAGATTGTGAATCGGGTATCCAGCATTGCTGGCAAGAACCTCACATCCGTAGTAAAGTAGAGTTGACAAGTCACAAAAGAAACATTACTGTAGAGGGGCCTTTTATAGTAGCAGAATATTATCATCACATGGGAGGACCTGATGGACCGCGTAATGGTACATTATAAGATTAAACTGCGTAGTAAACATTGACACATAAACCTCTCTTACCCCCTACTTTTTGGTACGATTTTACACCATGATGCACTTCTGCAACACCATGTTTTTTTCAAAAATAAATACTTTTTTTTCAAGTGTGTTTTTTTTAACTATTTTTCCCATCTTCTATATACCTCATACGACCTGTTTTTGATATAAAAATAATAAAAAACGTTCTTGCGCCGTAAAGGATTAATCATGTTCATTTCGTTTACAGAAATCCCAGGCACAGTCGACGACGTCGGCAACGTTTTGATCACTGGTAATGTATAACAAATAAAAATAATATAAAAAAAATATTTAAATCCCACTTTTTCCCGCGACTTCTCCCGTGTGCATGGAAGAAGAAAAAAAAAAAAGAAAACAAAAATGCGAAAGGCGTGCACCAGTGAGGCTTTCAAAGTAGTTTATTTCACTATTTAAATGTATTTTTTTTTCCAGTTGCCAGATTCGGCGGTCGTGTGATCAACTCCGTTCTCCCAGGAAGTAAGTTTATTTTATTTTTATCAGTCAACTAGGACAGAAGTAGCAGAAGTAGCGTCTTTTTTCATCTTTTTTTTACACGTTTTTGACCACTTTAAATTTTAAGTAATAAGTACCTAAAGCATTATGAAATTACAATATTATGAATTTTCATTGTGTATATTTATAATAATCTCCAGTCGTTACTATTTATGAAATCATTTTAATTATTAAATATTTTTGAAACGGCAAAAAAGGTACAGTGGTCGCTAAGGGGGTCTTTACCCTAATTCTTGACTTTATTCTGTTGTTTATTATGGGAATGTATTTTAACCAATTTGTTTTTTTGTTTTCAGCCGGCACCATCCTCGCTAGATGTAAGTAATTTCCGGGTTGATAAGTGTGCTACAACCTTTAAATCGTAATAATATTGCATTAATTATAATAATTTTCATGGTTCCTTTCCAGTGGTCATCGGTGTGCTCAAGAGCCTCATCTGTCTCCTGGGATCCCCAGGTCTTACTGGTAGCATCCTCAACGACCGCAGACCAGGTAAACATATTCAATAATACACCACGAAACCTTTAATAAAGTTTAAAACTGTCTTTCAACACTTCAAACTCCTCCCATGTTCTTCTGATTAATTTCGTTGCGGGTCAAATGACAGTAACTTTCCCCCGGGACAAACTTGGCCTTCACTGGTTGGGTTATTGGCGGTCAAGCTGTAGATCCTGGCTACACAGGAGTTGCAGCGGTGGGAAAGTAACAGTAGAACTACTTACCTCGGAAGACGGCGAAGGGATTTTTTAATATTAAAAAAATGCGAAAAAATTACCCGCCAAGTTTAAATTAATAATAAAAAAAATGATCAGAAAATAGTACTGTTCCCTATCTGTCCCAAAATTTAGTAGAGTTGTTAAGACCTACTTACAGAAACTAATTAATAACTAATCTCTAAGTTATTCAATAAAGAATTTATTTATTTATTAATCAATCCTTTTGTCCAGGACTCAGAAACTCCAGGGATATTCCAGCCATCTGCCGTGCAGGATACGCCAAGCGTTTCGGAGTCAAACCTTACACTGGCGACTACGAAAACGGTGCTGACATCTACAACTTCTACGACCTTGGAAAGATCAACGACGAGTTCCAAGTCGCTCTGAACAAATACACTAAGGGCAAGGGTCTTAAGGGACTGAAGGGTGAGTTTTAACGGTCATCATCATCATTCCAGCCATAGGACGTCCACTGCTGAACGTAGGCTTCCTCAATGATTCCACATTGACTGGTTGGTAGCGGACTGCATATTAAGGGTCATTTCTCGTTATGTACGGCTTAGTGCCTGCGACTTCAGAGATTGATTAAATAATTGAAGTTTTGGCAACATTTTTCGTTGATCCTCCGCTGCTATTGGTCATAGCGTGATTCTATAGTCTTTCTCAGTCAATAGACTATTCAAAACAAAAATATTTTTTCGATTCTTTAGCTTGATTTCAGTCGAGTACCTTTAGTAGATTTGCTCCTCATACTTTTCAACTGTATATCAACGGGAAAAGGCCGAATTACAGATTTCGATGGTTTCCACACGTGGTGAATTTGTAAGATCATGATTATTTTATTACTTTTATTTATTAATATTGTTTTTGTTTTGTTCCAGGATCACAAAAGATCATCGCCAAGTGGGTTATCGAGCTGACCCTGATCGTGAAATCCCGTAAGAACCATTTTATTCTAATAGAATAATGAAGAAAAAAAGGAAAATTAGATCCGGATAATCGAAATTCTACTCTGTACACCTACAACAGTGACTTCAAATGAAATCCTGAGAAAAATCATGAGAATTTAAATTTTCTAGAAAATCATCCGCCATTTTTGTTTATTTTTATGATGGTATTTATCTTTCTGTTTTATTTTCAGACAAGGACGGTCATTACACCAAAGCTGAGTACATCCGCATCGTCAGACTGCGTAAGTTAAAAATCAAATATTTATTAGATTTCAAGAATCAAAACGCATAACTTTTAACCAATGTAGGGTTGCCATCCATCCGGGTTTCCCCGGATTTATCCTAGTTTAGAGGGTAGTATCCTTATTCAAAACACATTATTTACTATTTATATCATAGTAAATTTTGGGGTGATTCGTAGCGTGCCCTATAATAATTGTGGTGCGTACCATTAATGGCACGCGTACCATCAATGTCACGCATGCCATTGGTTCACCATCCCTGTCCATAGCTATTTAGCTCTTCCTACAGCTCCTAGCTACTAGTTAATAGCTCTTAATTTGACGTTAAATGTGTATATTTCTTTCCAGTTATCAAGATCATTGGAGGAATCGGAAACTCATACAAGAGTGGACGTAAGTTTAAACATTATTATTATTTTGTTTATAATAAAGAATATTTATCTACAACTCGATCGAGTTAACTGCGCACCTGGCAGCCGTGACGTCACAACACAACGGGGCGAACGCGGGGAGGTGTGCGGGTGAGTGCGAGGAGAGTCGCATTCCAGCGACGTGCGCAGTTGGCTCGATCGGATTGTAACTAACTCAGCATTATCTTGATTATTTAGAAATAGAAATAGAAATATTTATTTGTCTTTGAATAGGGTGTACAGAAGGTCGAAAATAACAAAATATGATCACCTATCCAGCCATCAACAATAGCATGCAAATATATCGAAGAAATATTGATATTACATATAATTATTACGGTATTACTTTTTGCTGATTATTCCCTATAGCTTAAAAATTCTTGGAGAGAGTAGAATAATCGCGCGACAAGCCACTTTTGCAATTTAATTTATTTACTTTCATTTTGATACACAGTCACTATAATGACGTGTAAAAGAGTTACTTATTAAGTTATATAAATTATTAAATAATTGAAGCCCTTTTCGATGAGTTTTGTTGTTTATTGTATCTAATAACTCTTTCTTATTCTTTACAGTTGGAGACAAACTTGCTGCCGGTGAGTCTAAAAATCTTTCAAATCAAATCTTTGAACAACTATGAATTGTCTGTGAGACTTAATCGCGAGCTAGTAACAATGGTTTTTTACTGAGTTGAGAATAAGCAATCTTGGATAAAAGAAATGTCCATGTTCCAAGGGTGACTGAGTTTCTTCCGCCACTTCTTCTCAGCTCCAGTCGATATGTCGTCCCGAAGTGGTGGTAGGGCAAGCTATATTTGGGACGTGAATGTATATGCCTTGAAAAGGGCCTACATACTAATAAATTGATTTTGGATTTGATAATATCTAGATCGACGATGCGCCACCTGGCGGGATAAAAGCTTGTATCACAGTTAAACAGTTATAAGTACGAGTTTAAGTTAAGGGTGGATTCGATCAAACAAGAGTAAATAATAATCTCAGAATAAATCGTCAGTTATTTTACATTTTTATTTCCCATACTGAAACTGTCAATGTGCCAGTTATACCAGGAGTTATTCTCGGATTTAAAAAGTTTGGTCGAATCGGGCCTAGTAACTTAGTGTCTGTTTACGCAGCGTTTCACAGTTACTTATTTCCGAGTACTTAAGTAACTTATTATGTGTGTGTTTTCAGAACTTATCGTTTACTTGGCTGCCAGCACTAAGGGCAATGGACAAATCAACATTGGTGAGTATCATTAATTTTACAAATAGGTAGGGCAAAAAGACAGGGTAATTTTGCAAACACTTGCTAAATTTTTAGGAGCGACTCAGAATAAATAAATAAATATCCTTAGACATTTTACACTGCGCCACTAGTCACAAACTAAGCAAAGCTTGTACTATGGGTACTAGACAACGGATATAAACATACTTAAATACTTTTTTTTTTTGTAAATACATACATATGATACATGGAAAACACCCAGCCCGTCACATAAATTCAAATTCATCATTTCAATTTCTGCTCGGCCAGGAATCGAACCCGGGACCTCTCGGCATAGTAGTCCGTTCTGAACCACTACACCAAACGGCCGACTAATCAGAAACTTAATCGATTTGCGTAAAGAAAACATTTTTTTCTTTAATTATTTTTATCCGCTGCGCGCGGTTCCAAAATTGGCACACGTGCAAATTGGGAACACACTTAACTACAGTTCAGTTTTACAAAACTTAATAGACATTATGGTGCGCAAATATGACTTACCTTGTCATAAAAGGGAATAAATTTTCAATCGAAAAATATTACGATTAAAAATAATTACGATAAAGTTATATTTTATATTGTTCGATAGAGCTAAATTTTGACAACTGTTTGCGAAATCATCCTGTATAAAGGCCTATTCAAACCTGAGCGATATTCGCTGCCGCTGTGGGTAGAGGTACATACATACCATGCGGGTATCGCTCAGGTATTTAGTATCAAGTACCGCGGCAATACCGCTTAGGTCTGAATAGGCCTTAAGACAATGTAAAAGCGGCTGATGGGGCAGCAAGGTTCTGGAGTGGAGGCCACGTACCTTTAATATAATATCGCCCATGCGGGTGTCCTTCAGCACAAAAAATTGCCTTGTTTCTTTGTAACAAGTAAAAGACGAAGCACACTTATCAACCCCGAAACGGATCGTAACCGTATCAACTCGAGGCGGTCAGTATTCATTGTATGAAACTCCATACTGCAAAGTACGCTTATCCGCATCGTAACGTAAACGCCTCGCGGTTGAAAGCGCGGCGGAAGGCGATACGGTGTTGATCCCTTTCCAGGTTGATAAGTGTCATTCTTAAAAACTAACACCCCTATTCACAAACATTACTATGAGGTCTCACAGTGCGCGTGGATGCACAGAATGACAGACGGACCAATCACAGAGCTCTATTCATTTTGCTGCTTCACTTAGGCTGAGTTGCACCACCTAACTTTGACTGTAACTTTAAGAGTTGATTTTTAGTTGGCCGATAGTTGTGCCCGATTTTAAATTGTATGAAGAATCGGCCAAATCGAATCGGCGTATACCTTGATTTTTTAGAATCCAGCAGAGATGTAAACAAACACTTTCATACACAATTACACCATAATCACTTAGGTGTTCATAATATCATACACATTATTTAACAAGCCCATGAAACCAACTTTATTTTCACGTTTAAACAAGTTTGAAATCAATCTTTGAAACAAATATTTTAGCAAAATACGTGGAAGATGAAAATTTGTGAGACTTGTCAAATTGACTTGACGTTTAAAATCATGTGTTATCTCCATATTGTCTATGACTTGTCTCTGCCACATCGGTGCTGTAACCTGTGAGTCATAGACAATAATCTGTAAATTTAATCGATATTATTTTAAGTATTCACTTATTCCGATTACTGATTAATTTTAAATAAAAAATTTACGATACTTTGTTTAGTTTTCCAGCGATAACTTCGACAATATTGGAGATAACGTAAAATTATTTTTCGACTTTGACCCCCTTACTAATAAAACTTACACGCTCGTTGAACAGCGTTTTAAAGTGACGTTTAGTATGGAAATGTCATTTTAAAACAGTGTTCAACAACTGTGTAACTTTTTATTAGTAAGGGGGTTAGTGTATACTCTTTCGGAGTCAGTTTAATTTTTAGTCGGTTTTATTTAAACGAAATTATTTAACTTTTTTATGCAATTATGCTTACGTATTGTTCCATTGCTTATTTTCCTACATAATTAAATAAAATAAAAGAATTTTGCAACTATTTGAAGTTTAATAACTTTACGGATATCATTGATTGTTTTACTGTCCAGTGTGTTTTTTGATTACATCTGTGCATACAGTTTGTTTCCTGTTCTCGAAACTTTCATAATCAGTTCACATTCAATGTTGCGACTTTGTTGCATATTTTTAGTATTTTGACGATCACCCGGCGATGATACGCAAGTACTACAATAATTTCACTTCGCGATTAACGAGAGGTTTTGTCGCATCACTAGTTCACAGACTAAAAATATTTTTATGTCAGTTGGCCATTTTTGATGACATTTCTGCTGATTTCTAAAAAATTAGACTGTAGTGTGCGCACTCCCATACATGCCCAATGCCCATACTGATCAACTGCCCGACTAAACTGTCGGCCGACGAAAAATCAACGGTGTGCGCCTACTCTAACGACAACCGGTGTATTTTGTATAGAGTTTGACAGATTTTTGACGTTTGTTTAAGTCAAAATAATATGGTGCGTATCTGAATATTGTTGCATCATTCTGATTTAGTCGTTTCGTTTCAGATTTGTCAGCGGAATTCCCAACTATCAAGAAAGAGATAGATGAGTGCAGCAAGGACAACTTCAAGGGTGCCTTCAATGACGACAACGGTGACGACAGCACTGGCTCGTACGCTACCATCGACAACCAAAATTCAAGCGACGACAACTCAAATGTCAACTCAAACGCAGACACAAATGAGAACACAGACACATCTGACAACTCAAACACAAATGTGAACACAGACACATCTAACAACTCAAACACAAATGTGAACACAGACACATCTAACAACTCAAACACAAATGTGAACACAGACACATCTGACAACTCAAACACAAATGTGAACACAGACACATCTAACAACTCTAACTCAGACTCAAACTCAGATAACTCAAACGGCTCAAACACCAACTCGTATAAGAACACCGAGACCAATGACTCCTCCAAGAACTCCTCATACAACAAGAACACCTCAGACCAGAGTTCTGAAAATAACACCACCCAGCAAAACGACGGAAACTCATCCTACTTGAGCACATCATACTGCAACCAATCCTCTTCTACCTCCGAGCAAGGAGAGCAGAGTGAATCTACCCACTCATCCAAAACTGAGGAAGGCAGTGAAACTACCGTCTATTAAATAAAATATTTGTAATGTTTATACAAATAATTTAACTGCGACATGCATTAGCTTAAACTAGAGTGAGATGACCTCTAATTGAAATAAAAGCATTCCAGAAATACTGTGTTTATATTATTATATCCTTCGACCTTTTAGCCTAGGCGCAGACCATCGATTTTTCGTCGGCCGATAGTTTAGTCGGGCAGTTGATCAGTATGGGCATGTAATGGAAGTGCGCACATTACACCGATTTGATTTGGCCGATTCTTCATACAATTAAAATCGGGTCCAACTAGCGGCCAACTAAAAATCGACGCACATTCATTAATCCGGAAAGGGATCGTTACCGTATCAACTCGAGGCGGTCAGAATTCTTTGATGATGATACGCAAACTTATCCGCACCGTAACGTAAACGACAGCGCGCGAAGCGCAAAAGGCGATACGGTGTCGATCCCTTTCCGAGTTGATAAGTCTGCTATGAGCTGGCTGAGTTGTACCACCTTATTTTAACCGTGTTTATAATCTTAACCGGTGTTTTTGTAAGATGGTGCTCGTGTGGAACCCAACCTTACCCGTATTTACAAATGATGCTTGCTTAAGTAAAGTCAAAGTCAAAATTTCTTTATTTGTATAGACTACTAGCTTTCCGCCCGCGGCTTCGCCCGCGTGAAATTTCTTTTGTTAAATTTTCCTTAATTTTCTTTGCTATAAACCTCACGGAGCCCGAGACCTTTTCAACGAATGCAAAATCGTGGTAATCGGTTCGTGTGTTCTGGAGTTAGGAAGGAAAACCCGACTTATTTTTATATTTATAAAGCCTGGTCAGTGAGCACGTAGAATTTTGTCCAATGACCCCAAGCTACCCATCCTTATCGCTCGCGCGTAATGATGTTGCTTTCGCGCTCGCACACTCACTGCGGGCGCCCGTCGCACAGTCGCATTCGTCAAATATTTTGCTCTTAAGGAGCCTCTACATGTCTCATAATCTTTTTACCCTACCAGCGCTTCGAGACCAACTTAGTAAAGCAGGACACCACGCTGTGCGTTGAACAGAGCTCCGTGATTGATTCGTGTGCCACCCTGTGCGTTCACGCGCACTGAGAGTCCTCATAGATAAATGTTTGTGAATACGCTACGGGCGTTAGTTAGCATGATGAGGCAGTAATATGATGATTATTATCATCAAAAATAGATAAATTGCCCTGATAAAAATTATATTGTATCATTAAGTAGGGGTCAATCAATTAGGTACTAATTAACAAAATGACTTCAAGAATGTTATCTTATCAATTGTAATTAGATCTTGATTCAAATAAAAAACAATTATTAACAAATACATTTATCTTGGACACGTGTTGCAGATTAAGTATCAAATATTTTCTAATAGTACTAACTATTTCTATTATTTATTTATTTTATTTTATTGACAAAGATCTACCAACAACACATTTTTACACAAACAATAAAAAATACATGCAATGATGACAGGACCAAAAGATATTGGAGGTCAAAGGACATCATCCATTTTGGTCCAAAATCAAAAGTGCCGGCCAAAAAATAAAAGTGCTGTTTTCTGATAGAATACGTCCGCCTTAGCATTTATTACTACGGCACCAAGCTGTAGCACCACTGTGCATCGTAGTATTTGAGTTCTAAAAATATATGAAACGACTGACTTTGATCTCAAATACTACGACGCACAGTGGTGCTACAGCTTTGGTGTCATAGTAACAAATGCTAAGGCGGACGTATTCTGTCAGAATACAGCACTTTTTTTTATTGGCCGACATTTTTGATTTTGAACAAAAAATGTATGAATCGTCGATGAATTTTAGATCTCAAATACTCGACGCACAGTGGTGTTACAGCTTTGGTGCCATAGTAATAAATGCTAAGGCGGACGTATTCTATCAGAATACAGCACTTTTATTTTTTGGCCGGCACTTTTGATTTTGGACCAAAATGGATGATTGTCCTTTGTTTGTAAATATAGGGTTTCTAAGAACTTAGGTAGTATTCACAAACATTACTACGAGGTCACACAGTGCGCGTGGACGCACAGGGTGACAATCACAAAGCTCTATTCAACGCTGTGCCTTCGATTTGCTGCTTCACTTAAGCAAGCATCATTTGTGAATACGGGCGATAGACCCTGTATCATCATACTTATCTAAGCCTACAATCGATTATCTAGTAATTAAGTAAAATATTAAAGTAATTTTTTAGGTTTTCACCAGGTGTTTTATGCGTCACAATAACATTGCAAGTCGTAAGTACTCACTAAAATTAGATCACTGGCTGTGTCATTGGGGAGACCTATGTCACAACCTATGTTCTGTGGGCTGAGTGTGAGTTTACGTCAAACGCTTTGACTTATGGTCCTATGTCCCTTAGATGGGGCAGAGGGCGTCCACAACAGTCCTCCATCGCGTTCGGTCTTGAGCTAAGTGTTTGATCTCGCTCCAAGTCTTGCCGATCTTCTTCGCCTCGTCTGCCACAGTGCGCCGCCAAGTTTGCTTGGGGCGACCACGTTTGCGCTTTCCTTGGGGGTTCCAATCCAGAGCCTGCTTGGGGATGTGATCGGGATCCCTTCGGAGAGTGTGGCCAATCCAGTTCCACTTGCGGCGCTTGATCTGCTGGTCGATCGGAATTTCGTGGCAGCGTTCCAATAATAGCTCGACGTTGGAGATTTTCTCAGGCCAGTATATGCCGAGAATTCGGCGAAGGCAGCGGTTGACGAAGACCTGCAGCTGGTGCGAGATGACCTTGGTGACCTTCCACGTTTCACACCCATAGAGCAGCACATCAAACGCGCTCACTATGAAAATTTATGTTTTGGAACGTTTCCCGCTAGGGGCGCTGTACACAATCCGTCATACATTTACTGTAATTTTTTGACGCGCTCACTAGTGAGCACGTTTGATGAAAACTCACATTAGGCCCTCTGGATGTCCTGTGGCTGAAATGATGATGATGATGATCAATGAAATATGTAGAAAAACGGGAATATTACTTATTTCAAACAATTTTCAACCGACTTCAAAAAAGGAGGAGGTTCTCAATTCGACCCGTATGTTTTTTTTTTTCTATGTTTGTTACGCGATAACTCCGCCAATTATGAACCGATTTGAACAAATCTTTTTTTTTCGTATAGGTAATACCTCAAGGGTGGTCCCATTTAAATTTAATAATAGAAAAAACAACCCCCAAGGGTGGAAAATTGGGGATGAACTTTTTTATACGAAATATCTCCGCCGATTATAAATCAATTTGAACGATTATTTTTTTGTTGAATAGGTATTATCAAAAGGGTGGTTTCATGCGAATTTGCAGAAAATATTTCACCCCCAAGGGTGGAAAATTGGGGATGAACTTTTTTATACGCAATATTTTTAATTTTTAGTTTTTTTTTTGTGTTCACGCATTTGAAGTCGGTTTTATTTTTTTAAAAAGTTATCACACAACAACCCGATCGAGCTACGAGTAACCTGTACGGCTAGCACGAACAACTTTCGAGTTCGAATCGTTTGCGTATTCGACAAAATTCGATACTCAACCTTCGAATTAAACGATAACGTGACAATTTTGAGTTTCAAAATAAGTTTCGTGCAATCATTTCTCATACTAAGTTCACTTTACAACACGTTCACAAGGGCTGTTGTAGTTTAGTTTTCGTACTAGTTAAATCTTTTGATGGCGATTCTAATACGCAAGATATACCTACCTTAAATTTTTTAACATAACAATTAACAATCAACTTGACAGTGGCACGGTATTAAATATAAGTATATACAATTTATTTAAAACTACCACACGGTTTTGTTATGGTGCCTTGCTTTTCTCTCTAGAGTTTTCTTGCCTTGTCTCCTAAATAGTTTTATATCTGGCACTTAGCCAGAAGGATATCTTAGACTTGTCATGCTCACTAAAATGTCTCTGGGGTAGTGGCGTGTGAGGCGGGTCGTTACATTCCCTATAATATGGTCGAGTGAAGCGATGGCTGGTTCACACGTCATGTCTGTGAACAGGCGCTGCCTTCGGGGACTGGTCAAGGAAAGATATACCTGACATAAAATATATGTATCAAAACGCAACAATTAACCTAGAAATTAGCACGGCACTAATTCCAGCAGAACCACAGTACCTCACTGTGGTTCTGCTGGAATACGACTCCTTCCCACTTAGCGATCGCCCATGTGACGTCACGGTCGGCAGGTGCGCAGTTAATTCGACGGGTTGCACGAAGTCGAAGGCGGTACAGATACGGGACTATTCTATTACCATTTTTGGTTCCCACCGCTGCAACTCCTGTGTAGCCAGGATCTACAGCTTGACCGCCAATAACCCAACCAGTGAAGGTCAAGTTTGTCCCGGGGGAAAGTTAACTGTCATTGGACCCGCAACGAAATTAATCAGAACATAGGAGGAGTTCGGATACAGCTAGTCAGATACCAGAATCAGAAGTTGTCATTTTACTATACTTAATAATAGATTGAAAGATACCTTCGGTAATTCCTAAGATAGCTACCTTTATCAATAATAATGCGTTGAAACAGATTATAGGAAAGTATATAAAGAGATTTTCCAAATATATTGTCAAATCGTTGCCATTTTTGTAGAATTTTTAACAAAGATGGCTCGTTTCATCATTTTGTTGTGTGCCATCGCTGCAGCTTCAGGTAATTACTTTCTAAAATATGATTTGAAAACGGTAAACTCCATAAAAAAACACAGAGTAAGATCCAAGAGCGATAAGACATAATTTATTTTCAAATGGATGAAATGTTAGGTTCTCAGTAGCATTGTGGTAGCATCTCGTATGCTTTGAATACCTGTGTGTTTGTGGAGCTATCCTAAGGGTGACTGACTGACTGACTGATTGACATAGTGATCTATCAACGCACAGTCCAAACCACTGGACGGATCGGGCTGAAATTTGGTATGCAGGTAGATTTATGACGTAGGCATCCACTAAGAAAGGATCCGCTAGTTTTAAATAAACAACTTGAAAAAATCGAACTGCCCAAGGGTAGTACTACCCAACATTGATGAAATAAAAATGCGGCCATAATAGCCTATACTTGAAAATTTCGACAGGTTCATCCAGTGTCTAAGTAGCTCAGTTAGAAGAGCAGTCGCCCGGCAAGCGGAAGGTCGTGGGTTCGAGTCCCGCCTTAGCCTTAGATTTTTTCAACTTGTTTATTTAAAATTAAGCTTCCTCCGCTTCTTCGAATTTTTCTCCATGAGTGAGAAGCAGGCAGCTTCCTTGTTGTGGATAAAAAGCCATCGTTTTTCACAGCTCTCCCAGCTCAAGACCAGGTCATCACCAGGCTGGTGCCCGATGGCCCCCGGTTCATGTACGCAGAAGGCGAAGATGGTCAGAGCCAGCTGGTGGACTCCTGGATCAAGGTCAGCGACCTCGCCAGGATGGCTAGGTACAACCCGGAGCAGTCCAACCAGTACCATCTGTTCACCAGGTAAAGTGGCTTGAAGGTTATGAATTCTTTGAAAATAAGGCAGGGTGTTTAAATAGTTGGCATCCTTTTAATAGAATACTCTGGGTAATCATGATACATAGTACATTCTCCAAATATGAGACAATTTTAAAGAAGGTACTTTTCCAGAGAATCTAAGAGAAATTGATTCTATCTCTTTTGTGACTGGACTAAATTAAATCACCATCAAACCGAAATGTAATGTTTTAACGTTTAACGAAGTAATTTTTTTTAGTTACGGATTAACGATTAACGAAGTATTTGATTAACGGAGCCCAGCTATGTTTTCCAATAAGTTCTGTCTCTTTAGACCCCTATAGCTTCAATCACACCAACGCGTGCAAATCGCCATCGCCGGCGCGATCATAGGCCAATGACAGGTCGCGTGACCTGCACGCGTTGGTGTGGTTAAGTTATGTGTGCCAAACAAAAAACAATTCTATTCCTATCAGACCTTGGGCTTAATATTGCTAATCCTACAGGTCCAACCCCACAGTCAGCCAGCCCCTCGTCATCGGGAACAACTTGATCCTCCAGCAGAGCAACTTCAACCCCCAGAGAAGGACTGTGGTGCTTATCCACGGGTTCCTTGGCTCTGCCACTGCTGGATCCAACGCTGCTCTGGTGCCTGGTAAGTAACCAGAATACTGATTTTTCAATCGTCGGAAAACTTTTACTGGAAGAATTTGGGCACATTGACAGTTTTAGTATTAGAAATATGTCCAAATAACAAGGTTATTCTTCGGTTTTGTTTCCCAGTCGACGAAGCACATGATGTCGTGCCCTGCGTGTCCAAACAACTGCACGCAGGAAGATTTCAACGCCACTCTTGTAGCAGAGTTTTGGGCTGACACGGTTTGTTGTCGACACGACAAGAAGAAATTAAAATATATCCGACGATTGGAAAATCAGCTCTTAATAAACTTATTGAATTATACCTTCATCTTCATTTTCTAACTAGCTGACCCGGCGAACTTTGTTCCGCCTTAATGGCAATAAATAAGCAGACTTTTTTTTAATTTCGAACGGGATAAAAAGTATCCTATGTCCTTCTCCTGGCTCTAAACTATCTCCCTGACAATTTTCAGCTAAATCGGTTCAGCCGTTCTTGAGTTATAAGCGAAGTAACTAACACGACTTTCTTTTATATATATAGATGCTGGAAAACGGAGTATGAATGCTCGGAGATTCCCTGTGTGATCGAATCAGAAATTAGGAGATCCGCAGGAAAACCAAAATGACCGACAAAGCCCGCAGAATTGCTAAAATCAAGTGGCAGTGAAGGTTTTTGCATTGTAACTCTTAATTTTAGGGCTTGTGAGCTCTTTTTTGTACTACTACAAGAAAATAACTTTAATCTCTGAGAATAACACTTTTAAATGATAATTTTGTCTGCAGCTTACCTCCAAGGTGAAGATGTGAACGTGATCGTTTTCGACTGGAGTGCTGGTTCCCACTGGGGCCCTAACGGATCTTTGGCAGGTGAGCATATTTCTTAATTTTGAAGGGCCCATTTTTCGGGTTTTCGCTTATATCTCGGAAACTATGCGACCTAGAGACATGACCACTATGGATCCAATAAAGCTGATTAAATATACTACAAGTGCCTTACTCAAGTTTTTCTGTATCTTGTAAAGTTTACGAGACATTTACTTTAACAATAATACTTATTATTTTAATTGAATTGTCATAGGTCGTGCCGCTGCTCTCTTCTTCAACTGGCTGAACCAAATGACCGGAGCCACCGCCTCCCAGTACCACATCATCGGCTTCAGCGTCGGAGGTCACATGGCTGGTATCGTCGCCAGGTTCATGAATGGAAACGTTGCTTATGTTACTGGTAAGTTTCATACATCAACATCATCATCATCATCATCAACAGCTCTCTACAGTCCACGGCTCATAAGCTTCCTCCACAATAGTGGAGGGTTTTGCCATAATCCCCACGCTTGGCAGGCGGGTTGGAGATCGCAGTTCAAAAGATTGATGTTCTTCAGAGAGCGCTGCTGCCCGTTCTCTGTTTGATGTGTAGGCCTTAAGTCGTCTTATGAAACCCAAGGGAAGAGTAGGGGTTGGTGACAAATGTATTCCAATCTGCCGTCACCACACGGCTTGATATAGGAGTTTCATACACATACGAAATGATATCAACAGGGCCGGATCGTGAATTTGTGGGGCCCTGGGCTGAAACTACTTGGGGGTCTATCTTAGTACTCAACTAATAGCCATGCCAAAAAACTGTTTCTACACTCGCGAGCAAAAGTATGAAATCACTTACATGAAGTTGTTTCCACGCAATCTTGTATACTAATGAATTTGTTAGTAACAAAAAAGTGGCACCATTGTAAAGATTAAACTTTTAACTTTAAATTGATACCAAATTCATTTATATCACACCAGTATTTAAAAGATATCCCGCCTGATGTGAAGAAGTAAGGAAAAAGACATGTATCAACTGTTTGATACGTCGCGAGTTGCGTGCGGCCTATTTACCCCCTATAAAAGCACGTGTTTTCGGATTTTTGCTCTCACACGTTGATCCATACACATCTCCGCTTCTTTTGACATTTTACCTGGGATTCTACACCTTCAGAAGCAGCACTAATCGTTGCACTATTGCAAGAAGGGCTCAGCCAGCGGGCTGTCGTACGTCAGCCCCACATAAGCCAGTCCAGGGTTTCGAAAGTTTTAAGACGCTTTCGGGAGACTGGTGGCTTTATCCCGAGACTAAGTTCTGAACAGCGCCGGTGCACATCGCAGAAGGATGACCGTTTTTTCATGTCAACCTCTCTATGAAATCGTCATTTGACTGGTATCGACGTCCAGCAAGACCTCAGAAATGTTCGTAGGATAGCTGTTAGCGAGTGGACAGTTCGTCTAAGATATAAGCAATAGAATTTGACTCCAAAAAGGCCTGCCAAAGGCTCGAAACTGACGGCAGGTCACCGATAAGCACGCTTTCCAAAGCCACCAGTCTCCCGAAAGCGTCTTAAAACTTTCGAAACCCAGGACTGGCTTATGTGGGGCTGACGTGCGACAGCCCGCTGGCTGAGCCCTTCTTGCAATAGTACAACGATTTGTGCTGCTTCTGAAAGTGTAGAATCCCAGGTTAAGTGTCAAAAGAAGCGGATATGTGTATGGATCAACGTGTGAAAGCAAAAATCCGAAAACACGTGCTTTTATAGGGGGTAAATAGGCCGCAACTCGGGACGTATCAAACAGTTGATACATGTCTTTTTCCTTACTTCTTCACATCAGGCGGGATATCTTTTTAAATACTGGTGTGATTTAAATGAATTTGGTATCAATTTAAAGTTAAAAGTTTAATCTTTAAAATGGTGCCACTTTTTTTGTTATTAACAAATTCGTTAGTACACAAGATCGCGTGGAAACAACTTCATGTAAGTGATTCCATACTTTTGCTCGCGAGTGTATAATGATATATTATTTTTATACATACAGTGTGAGTCACGATAAAGTGCACTATGAAAATAGGTGAAACTAGACCTAATTTTATCGACAAAAAAGAGGTCAAAAAATTTATGAGATTTTTTTAAAAAAATTTTTCTGCCAATTACTTACGTTAGGTTACGTAAGGGCCCCGGGGTTACAAGGGGCCCCCAGATCCCGCTAAAAAGTAGGCAATAATTGAAAAAAAAAATAGTTGTCTGTAAAGTCGCGTCGGTTTACGGACGATATTTTTACGTGACAACGTCATAAGAAAATATTGATAAAAAATTGCATACAATTTTTTTTTTCTGCCAATTAATACTTCTTGTAAAGAAAACGTAATAACTTTTAAACTAAGAGGTATATCCTGATAAAATAAAAACAGGAACAATGCTAAATAACAGGCGATACTAAAAAAATACATAAAATGCCAACAAATAATAAAAAATATACTTTTTTTAAAAAATCTGCTTTTAAATTCGTGTTTTTTTGGTTATTTGATAAATTTATCCAAAAAATGCCCCCATAACAGGTGATTTTTATTACTTTGTATTATTCTCTATCATATTAATTTTGTAAAACCAAAAATCGGAAGTCTCTATCCCTATCACAACATTTGCTATGATCGTTTGAACAAAGGCCTGCCACCACATTATTCTCCGCTACAGGTAGAGACAATTTTGAATGTTGTGCTTACCCTTAACTCGTGCCATGTCTAATTCACTAAGTGCGGTGGTCAGTTGCCTAGAGACGCGGCCGGGTATCAGCTGAGCGGTTAAGTGACATATATATCAGAAATGTTATCTTCATAAATGTTAATCATAAGAGTATAATATATATGTTGTTGGTATGCCATATGAATAAATAAATAAATAAATAAATTTTAATTTTAACTAAAACTTATTATAACTACTTCGAAATCTTTTGTTTTTATTTGAAATGTAACTTGTTTTTATCAAAATTACAAATCTAGAGTCACTTTCAGTTTCGTTGTTAACGAAGCGTTGAATGGCGCGCCCGGAGAGGCTTAGTTCAAACGATCATTGCAAACATTGTGATAGGGATAGAGACATGCTATTTTTAGGTTTACAAAAGTAATACGATAAAGAATAACAGAAAGTAATAAAAACAATCTGTTATGGGGGCATTATTCGGAGAAAATCAAATAACCAAAAAAAAACACGAATTAAAATGCAGATTTTTCTCAAAATGTATCATTTTTTTATTATTTGCTGCCATTTTCTGAGTTTTTATGTATTTTTTAGTATCGCCGGTTATTTAGCATTATTACTGTTTTTATTTTATCAGGATACCTACCTCTTAATTTAAAAGTTATTACGTTTTCTTTACAAGAAGTAATTGGAAGAAAAAAAATTTAAAAAAAATCTCAAAAATTTAGTATGCAATTTTTAATCAATATTTTCTTATGACGTTGTCACGTAAAAATATCGTCCGTAAACCGACTTTACAGACCTTTTTTTTTTCAAATTATTGCCTACTTTTTAGCTGGATCTGGGGGCCCCTTGTAACCCCGGGGCCCTGGGCTGCAGCCCAATCAGCCCATAGGTAGATCCGGCCCTGGATATCAACCTGCTGAAACTTTTTTAATGCAGAAAAAGGCAGGTATTTAACCGCAATCACACAGTCTGGGGTGGTACATACCAGCCCTGTAAGTGTGCCCTATTTACTCACACCTTGAAGAGACCCGAATTATAAGTGTTCAAGAAAGACAGCAGCAGGCAGTGAATTCCAATCCATAGCTGTTCGCATTATAAAAGAGTTAGCGAAACGCTTATGGCGAGCTGGTGCGAGAATCAACGTAGAGTGTACCACACACTAACCTGCGTCTAGACTCCGGGGATGGAAGGGAGTTGGTGGAATTGAATTACTTACTTGTGTACCCCTTCTTATGCTAGGTGTTTCTTTACGAGATCGAATCTGAAATGAGGATAACCGTAAACAACTAAAGTCTCTGACATGGCCCGACGGATTATCAAGCTGAAGTGACAATGGGCAGGGCACATATTACGCAGAACTGACGGCCGATGGGGCAGCAAAGTTCTGGAGTGGAGACCTCGTACCGGAAAGCGCAGCGTAGGACGTTCACCAAGGTGAACCGACGACCTCATAAAGGTAGCGGGAAGGCGCTGTATGCAGGACGTCCTATGGCTGAAAATGATGAATGATGTACCCCTTCTGTCAAATTACAATATTATTCGTCTTTCCAGCCCTGGACCCTGCCTCCAGATGGGAGCTGGACGACCTGGTGGGCCCCAACGACTCTCTCTATACCGAGGTCATCCACACCAGCGCTGGAGTCAGTGGATGGGGCGACCCTCTCGGTCACACCGACTTCTACCCCAACGGGGGCAGGGTCATGCCTGGCTGCTTGTTGAACGTCATCTGCGACCACCAGAGGTATTTATCATCCTTTTCTATACGGGGTTTCCTTAATGGCTCTTGCCCACGGCAAGCCAGTAATTCAGGATCCCCAGAAAACTGGACTTTTGTGTTCACACGGCAATATCCCGATTTTTTGAGGGACGGTTTTTTTCCGCGTGTTTGCAAAAAAAATTATTGCTTAGTGGGAACACGAACAATTAATTTTTACTGGTCCAGCTTAGTGACAAAACCGATTTCTAAATTATCAGTTTTTTGCTGTAGGTATAGTTTAATATTTAAAACGTTGTACCTACAAAAACGGGATGACGCCGTGGGAAAGAGCCCTAATGGTATTGTCTAGGGTTTACTTGTCTCCGGGACAAATTCTCCTATCACCAGCTACAGTACCAGAAGGAAGAAGCTCTTGGCTTGCATCGCACCTGATGGAAAGTGAAGATTGTAGTAGCTAGCCAGATGGACTCATAATAAGCCTTACCACCAGAAAATTGTGCCCCTACTGGGAATGGCGAGGCGGGTCGTTACATTCCCTATAATATGGTCGAGTGAAGCGAAGGCTGGTTCACAGATGTCTGTGAACAGGCGCTGNATAAAATATATGTGTATCAAAACGCAACAATTAACCTAGAAATTAGCACGGCACTAAAGAAATATGTTCAAAACTGCCACGCGGTCTCGTGCTAGATGGGCGTCTTAAAGGCCACCTTCTATCAACGGGAGCGCGTGGTAAGTAACTTGCTTCTGAATGTATTGTAACTTCCTACTTTTTTATATTTTTAAACCGGCAGACAGTGGTGACTGAGTTTGTTGCGGCGCTTCTTCTCAGCAAAAAAAGAATGAGACATGTATAGGCTCCTTAAGAGCATTTAATTTTGACGATTTGCAAGTACTAATTTACTTAGTCTAAACAAATAAAGATAATTTTGATTTTATTTTTTATTTTTGAATCGACTTAAGAATCCCTAATGGAAAATGATCTGATGATGAATCTTCTTTTAAAGGTCCTACGAGTACATGGCGGAGTCTGTAGCCACCGGTGGCTTCACAAACAGTATCGAGTGCCGAAACAGAGCTGAAGCCTCCATCGGGTCCTGCACCCTGACCAGACGCCTGCATATGGGAGGACGTGTACCTAAGACTGGGTAAGACTTGACTTAAGGTCCTATGTCCCCTAGATGGGCAGAGGGCGTCCACAGCAGTCCTCCATCGCGCTCGGTCTTGAGATTCGCGTTTGATCCTGTTTGATGAAGTCTGGCCGATCTTCTTCGCCTCGTCTGCCATAGTGCGCCGGCAAGTTTGCTTGGGGCGTTTGCGTTTTCCTTGGGGGTTCCAATCCAGAGCCTGCTTGGGGATGTGATCGGGATCCCTTCGGAGAGTGTGGCCAATCTAGTTCCACTTGCGATCGGAAATTCGTGGCAGCGTTCTGGTTAAGACACCTCATGATTAATTCTTTCACCCGTATTCACAAACATCTCACAGTGTGCGTGGACGCACAGGGTCCCAAAAACCTATTCACAATACTTGAGTTGCGGAATGACACACACGAACCAATCACAGAGCTCTATTCCTTCGTGCGTTCTACTTAGTATAGCGTTGCTGCTTCACATAAGCAAGTATCGTTTGTGAACGGGTGTTTGACTTTTGGCATGCTTTGACTTTATTTACAAAGCAGTTACCAACCGGGCGATGTGGTGTGGAAGTCATTGGGGGAGGCCTATGTTCACCAGTGGACGTCCTGTGGCTGAAATGATGATGATGATGATAATGCATGTAGGTACTCGTACATTGGTCATTAGGTAGTTGCAGATATAAAAGAATCATCTTTGAAGCAATGACGTAACGATGAAAAGGTCAAAAGGCTTCCAGAACAGATTACCGTTCCTCCAGACAGAATTTAATGACGTCATTACTCTTTTCTTCCTTCCTCCTCCTATGTTCTTCTGATTAATTTCGTTGCGGGTCCAATGACAGTTTAACTTTCCCCCGGGACAAACTTGACCTTCACTGGTTGGGTTATTGGCGGTCAAGCTGTAGATCCTGGCTACGCAGGAGTTGCAGCGGTGGGAACGAGAGGTGGGAATAGTCCTGTTTTCTTTCCTTCATTCGGTATTCTAAATAAATACACCCCACATACCTACCTACAATATTTCTGTCGTACTACTCATATAACACAGATTAAATTACTATTAAGTAACTCTAACTGTCATTCCTTTATTTCAACCACCACTATGTTGCCTGTGACATAATGTAGGTAGTATCCAGTCCGCTATAACTTGAACCAAAAAATAATTTACCTTTTGATTAGATTCGGATAAAAAAGTAGCATTCATAAGCCTATCAATGTAACATAGTAATCTAACAAAATTGATAGTTTCTTTTAAATTAATAATAAGTAGTTAAAAGACCCCCTACGTATACAATCATTAATTACTGCCTAAACTAATTCGATTAAACAATTATCTTCATGAAGAAGCACTTTTACAAAGCGGTACCGATAACGAAACTAATCTTTACACATTGAAGTAATCTTTTTAATGCTTTGGTAATACACGATTAAATTTCACGCTTGTGATTAGTGTAAAATTAATTTGTCTTTAGATATCGACATTTAGGCACGTGCTTCCTAACAACCTAGTTCTAGGTTTTGACTAGGGATATTCGATATACATCGATGTATCGAAAACATCGATGTTTACAATGCGATACATCGAATGGATCCGATGTTTTGAAAAGCTATTGAAATACTCGATGTATCGATGTTTTTAAGTTTTCAGTGTTAAAACATCGAATCGATGATAACCAATTAAAATTTCATAAAACTCAAGTCTGACCACTAAAATTTTACTTATACGGACAACCCAACTTGTATTTTAAAAATGTTGGCAACACTGCGTACGAGTGCAGTGAGTAGTGTCTCTAGTGACAATAAAAAAAAAACTGTTATGTCAATGTCGCGTCACGCGTGTCGGTTGGCGAGTTTGTTTGTGTCAATCAACAAAGAAATAGGCTGAAAGGCAAACGTTTAAATAAACTGTTGTTTTTGCAAAGTCTTCCAAAAGAACACTGGAAATACTTAGGATATAAATAAATAAATAAATAAATAAATATCCTTGGACATTTTACACTGCGCTTCTAGTCCCAAACTAAGCAAAGCTTGTACTATGGGTACTAGACAACGGATATAAACATACTTAAATACTTTTTTTTTTTGTAAATACATACATATTATACATAGAAAACACCCAGTCCAATACAAACAAATATGTTCATGCACACAAACAAACATATAACAAACTTATAAAAATAAATGCGGATGTTTTTTTTTGTTCTTACTTTAATAGGACAGTGTGAGTCACGTTAAAGTGTACATTTGAAAATATGTGAAACTAGACCTATTTTTATCGACAAAAAAAGGTCAAAAAATTTTTGAGATTTTTTTTAATTTTTTAAAGAATTTTTTTTCTTACAATTACTTCTCGTAAAGAAAACGTAATAACTTTTAAAGTAAGAGGTATATCCTGATAAAATAAAAACAGTAATAATGCTAAATAACAGGCGATACTAAAAAAAAAACATAAAATACCCAGAAAATGCCAACAAATAATAAAAATTATACTTTTTGAAAAAAATCTGCTTTTAAATTCGTGTTTTTTTGGTTATTTGATAAATTTCTCCAAAAAATGCCCTTATAACAGGTATTTTTATTACTTTGTATTATTCTCTATCGTATTACTTTTGTAAAACCAAAAATTGCATGTCTCTTTCCCTATCACAACATTTGCTATGATCGTTTAAACAAAGGCCTGCCACCACATTATTCTCCACTACAGGTGGAGACAATTTTAATTTTAACTAAAATGCTTATTTTACTTCGAAATCTTTTGTTTTTATTTGAAATGTAACTCGTCTTTATCAAAATTACAAATCTAGAGCCAGTTTCAGTTTCGTTGTTAACGAAGCGTTGAATGGCCCGCCCGGAGAGGCTTAGTTCAAACGATCATTGCAAACATTGTGATAGGGATAGAGACATGCGATTTTTGGTTTTACAAAGGTAATACGATAAAAAATAATACAAAGTAATAAAAACCACCTGTTATGGGGGCATTATTTGGAGATCAAATAACCAAAAAAACACGAACTTTAAAGCAGATTTTTTTCAAAAAGTATATTTTTTTATTATTTGTTGGCATTTTCTAGGTATTTTATGTATTTTTTTAGTATCGCTTATTATTTAGCATTATTACTATTTTCATTTGATAAGGATATACTTCTTAGTTTAAAAGTTATTACGTTTTCTTTACGAGAAGTAATTGGAAGAAAAAAAAATCTAAAAAAAATTTAAAAAAAAATCTCAAATATTTTTGACCTCTTTTTTGTCGATAAAAATAGGTCTAGTTTCACCTATTTTCATATGTGCACTTTAACGTGACTCACACTGTATAATGAAGATTTTTCTCATGTAGGTATGGCTTTTACTGTTTTTTAATAATACAATGCTTAAATTAGTGGATTATAAAAAATCTTAAAAAAGTACTCGATTTATACAAAACATCGATGTTTTCTTCCAATACATCGAAAGAAATCGATGTACAGTTTTAAAATATCGAATCGAAAAAAACATCGATGTTTTTTCAAAGTGGACACCCCTAGTTTTGACAATATCAACCAACCAACTAATTCACGTATTTTGACAAACAAGATCTCGCTGACGTTCAGAAGTCGTCCAATTGAAAAACAGTTCTAAATCCGTATTCACAAGGGTCATTTCGATAAAACGATTACTCGATAGGATCGCAACTCAGTGTTTTGTTGTCATTGAAGTTTTGTTACGTGAATAGGCTACATGATGTAGCTCAAAATTTCTCTTTAAAAAAAGTCTCTTTCTAACTCAACATTCGTTTCAACCAAAAGAAGTCCACTGCTGGATTTCCTCCCCAAGGATTACCACAACGTTAGAAAAAATGTGTAGCAAGATTTGGATCTTCAATAGCTAGCTCATGTAGATTTCTTGAAAACATTGGAACATTTGATTGCCTAGACTGACATACTAGGCAAAAGCAAATAGGTAATCATTTTTACGGCGTGTGGTTCTGGCAGGGTCAAACAGGTCCTCACTTTTCCCGTGGTTATCGGGACGGTAATCGTAGGTACATCAGGGCTCCCCAACCCGTCTGGCCAGCCATTTTCTCCATTTTCCTTTGGTATATTAGAGGGTCGTACTCCTGCAGTAGAGACTAAATGACCTGATGATGATGACATTATTTATTACCAAAACATTGTCCTTTACGCTTACGCAGAAGGAAAATATGACATAATTAATTATGACGTCCAAAACTGATAATAACCATTATAATAATCCAATCTTTACCACTTTAAAAATCACCGATAATTTACTGCATGATAATGTTCATGTATAAGATTATGGTATTCCTGACTTGATCGATGTAATTTGAAACCAATAAAGAATGTAATAAATATTGTTATCAAATCAATCAATCAAGTCTGTGCGTGATATAGGTATTACGCGTCCGATAATTTAGGAATTTGTTTTAATAAATTGTTTATTTACAATATTAATTTGGACATTTGTTGAAAAACTACCTACTTTTGCTTTGCATTGGAGGGAAGTCGAACCTTAACTCCGAACTCCTCCTATGTTCGTCAGATTAATTTCGTCACGGGTCCAATGACAGTTTAACTCTTTCTCGGGACAAACTTGACTTTCACTGGTTGGGTTTTTATTGGCGGTCAAGCTGTAGATCCTGGCTACACAGGAGTTGCGGCGGTGGGAACGAGAGGTGGGAATAGTCCCGTACCCAATTTATTATAAGTCACTAAAATCATCATCATCATATCAGCCACACACAGGACGTCCACTGATGAACATAGGCCTCCCCCAATGACTTCCACATCGCGCGGTTGGGAGCGGCCTGCATCCAGCGCCTTCCTGCTACCTTTATGAGTTTCCTACCTATGTTTTAATCTGTTTTTTTTGTCCACAGAGCAACTGGCCTCTACTTCTTGACGACCAACAGGTCTCAGCCCTTCTCTATTGCTTAAACAAGGAATACCAACTAAGAATAAACATGGCACACTAAAAAGGATAATAAAACGCTTAATTGTATTTTGTTATTTTAATTACCTGTATTCTTACTAGTATGACCTAAAATGAAAGGTGGTTAAGCTGGATGATAGCTAGTACTCGTATCATAAAAAAGCAAAAGCTCTACCTAACTATACATACATTATATCTATAATATAAAAATGAATCGCAAAATGTGTTGGTAAGCGCATAACTCAACAACGCCTGGACCAATTTTACCAATTCTTTTTTAAAAATGTTTGTTGAAGTCCAAGGATGGTTTTTACAGCGAGAAAAGTTTGAATAATTTCCGGGTAAACCCTAAAAATCTCGAAACTTCACCCCTAAGGGTAAAACGGGGTCCACGCGTACGAAGTCGCGGGCGGCCGCTAGTATATTATAAAAGAAAGTCGTGTTAGTTACTTCACTTATAACTCGAGAACGGCTGAACCGATTTAGCTGAAAATTGTCAGGGAGGTAGTTTAGAGCCAGGAGAAGGACATAGGATACTTTTTATCCCGTTCGAAATAAAAAAAGTCTGCTTATTTATTGCCATTAAGGCGGAACAAAGTTCGCCGGGTCAGCTAGTCTATATTAAAAGAAAGTCGTGTTAGTTACTCCACTTATAACTCAAGAACGGCTGAACCGATTTTGCTGAAAATTGTCAGGGAGGTAGTTTAGAGCCAGGAGAAGGACATAGGATACTTTTTATCCCGTTCGAAATTAAAAAAAAAAGTCTGCTTATTTAGTGCCATTAAGGCGGAACAAAGTTCGCCGGGTCAGCTAGTAACTGATATAACTTTGTCGGCCGTTTAGTGTAGTGGTTCAGAACGGACTACTATGCCGAGAGGTCCCGGTGTCCCAGGTTCGATTACCGGCCGGGCAGAAATTTGAATTCTAATTTCTATGACGGGTTTGGGTGTTACTGTATGTTAATGTATGTATAATATGTATTCTATGTATTTAAAAAGTATAATATGTAGTATATCCGTGAAGCTAGCACCCATAACATAAGCATAATATATTAAGTTGCTTAATTTAGGGCTAGCTCACGCTGTGTGAAAATGTCCAAAGATAAAAAAAAAGTCGCCCGCCCACCCCCGCGGTAACCGCTGACTATAGGTTTAAGGCCTATTCAAACCTGAGCGATATTCGCTGCCGCTGTGGGTAGAGGTACATACCACGCGGGTTTCGCTCAGGTATTTAGTATCAATCAAGTACCGCGGCTAGAGCGTTTTCTCTGCAGCAGACGGTAGCGAATACCGCTTAGGTCTGAACAGTATTATTACCGCATACCCACTGGGTTTTCTCTGCCGCAGACTGTAGCGAATACCGCTTAGGTCTGAACAGTATTATTACCGCATACCCACTGGGTTTTCTCTGCCGCAGACTGTAGCGAATACCGCTTAGGTCTGAACAGTATTATTACCGCATACCCACTGGGTTTTCTCTGCCGCAGACTGTAGCGAATACCGCTTAGGTCTGAACAGTATTATTACCGCATACCCACTGGGTTTTCTCTGCCGCAGACTGTAGCGAATACCGCTTAGGTCTGAACAGTATTATTACCGCATACCCACTGGGTTTTCTCTGCCGCAGACTGTAGCGAATACCGCTTAGGTCTGAACAGTATTATTACCGCATACCCACTGGGTTTTCTCTGCCGCAGACTGTAGCGAATACCGCTTAGGTCTGAACAGTATTATTACCGCATACCCACTGGGTTTTCTCTGCCGCAGACTGTAGCGAATACCGCTTAGGTCTGAACAGTATTATTACCGCATACCCACTGGGTTTTCTCTGCCGCAGACTGTAGCGAATACCGCTTAGGTCTGAACAGTATTATTACCGCATACCCACTGGGTTTTCTCTGCCGCAGACTGTAGCGAATACCGCTTAGGTCTGAACAGTATTATTACCGCATACCCACTGGGTTTTCTCTGCCGCAGACGGTAGCGAATACCGCTTAGGTCTTCTGAATAGGCCTTTAGCCTGGTATGGGAGTGGCACACGGGAGGGTGATTTAGGGATGTTAAATGTCAGCGAGACTTCAAATGTGCCTCAGATTTTTATGCTTCGTCACGTCATAATGTTAATGTCACCCTCCGTACCGCTAACATCCCTCAGGACTGAGATAAGCTCTAAACTTATAGTGCGTAAAAGCGTATAGTCTGATTGCACTGAGATTGTTAGTTTTGGAGGTAATCTTAGTACAACCAGTGCAAAGCAGTGACAAAAATCCGGCGTGAGATATCTAGATTTACTAATAGTAATTTTTGGCTATACTATTATCATTAATTTAAAACGCCTCCTCGATAAGTAAGCGGCTTAAAGTAAGACTGATTAGTTACTTTGTATTGGGCTTGCACCGACACAAGCCAGGATTAAAAAACTCTATCAGAATAACAGTGATATGATAAGCTTATGATTTTTAAAGGATAGCCCATTTATAGAGGAAGGCTTTAAGCTCGTAGCAGATTCACTCAGACAGACCAGTATTCACAAACATTACTATTAGGTATCACAGGGTGACACTCGAGCTCTATTCAACGCTGTGCGTTCAATTTGCTGCTTCACTATTTTTTTTACACAATTTTGACTGTATACAATCATCCTACGCCCTACGCCTTATAGGGGCGGAGCAGTAAAGAAAAATGTTGCAAAAACGGGAATTAGGAAAACTATGTTCATGCATACGAAGTCGCAGGCATAGCTAGTTAACTAATAGAGATAAGAAACAGAAAAAAATATGATGATTAAAACTTCTTTACTTTTTTAAAATAAAAACCCTTTTTAATGTGTTTTTAAGTCTTCATTGTGAAATAAAATTAAATGAAATAGTTTATTCAATACATAGGCCCTTTCCAGGGCACTTATACACGTCCCAATTATAGCTAGCCCTACCACCACTTCGGTACAACAATCATGGGCTGATGCTGAGAAGAAGTGGCGGAAGAAACTCAGTCACCTTTGTCAGCCTTTGTTTTATTTATCTCAGCATATTATTTCAAAATCTTATGAAAACATTGCTTCAGTTTCTGTTATTATTAATAAACACTGTGTTCTTTACGACATCCACGTGTAATTTACTTACCTAGTAATAATAAAAACGTATTTTATTGAAACAACTGAGTCTAACTTTATTTTTCTACTTCTTTATTAATGAGGAAAGATTTGATTGTTTGTTTGCATTGAAAAAGGCTCCGAAATTACTGAAAAGATTTAAAAAAATATTACATTAGGTATTCCATTTATTTTATACATTATCAAAAAATGGGTCGTCACGGTGCAGAGGCCCGGATCTATTATTATTATTATTTGTATTATTATTCTTGTTTTCATTAATAAGTTGAACTCTATCGACTAGAGGTTCTGTACTAGAGATGAAACGGATAGTTGTTTGGCCGGATACCGGATACCGGATATCCGGCCAGCTGCTAGGCCGGATAGCCGGATATCCGGCGGCCGGATAGTTGGCCTATTGTCTCATTGCATGTCGTGACGAGTTTAGCGCCGCACAGATGCTTCGAACGCGATCAGTGGGTCTATTAGTAGACTAGACTAGTCACACTTCGAAAATCGAATCCGTCCGATAGAATGTCAGATTTTGCCACTTGACTAGGGGGCTGTGTGCTTACCATGAGTTTACATTAGGTGTGCTCGCTAGCGACTGCGTAAAAAAGTGACATTAAAATTAAATGTATGACCGATTGTACAGCGCCCCTAGCGGCTACTTTCAAGAACTAAAACCTTCATAGAATTTTTGACGCACTCGCTAGCGAGCACACCTAACGTAAACTCATGGTAAGCACACATTCAAGCGATTTCGGTTGCCATCGTGAGTGTGTGATTGAATAGTGATAATTAAATTAGTTAGCAGGGAAGCGCTGGACGCAGGCCGCTACCAATCGATCAACATGGAAAGGATTGGGGGAGGCCTATGTTCAGCAGTGAACGTCCTATGGCTGAAATGATGATGATGATGAAATTAGTTTACTTGCTGCATAATCTGACTGAACAGCATCATGTCGTCAGACCATCAATGAAAAAAAGATCGCCTAGTTATTTGGCAATACATATTTTGACATTAACAGATTAATAGACCTGAAAAAAAAAAGTTTTTTGAAAGGCCTTGATATGGCTTTTTTGTAACTTTTTGGACTTTAAATAAAAGCCGTCATTATTAAAAGCCATTTTATTGATATTTACCTCAAAGATTTATGTATTTCATTTTATTAATAGGAAATTGTCGTAGTTTTTTAATATCCGGTATCCGGCCGGATAGTGAGTTACTATCCGGTATCCGGCCGGATAGTAAATTTAGGCCGGATATTCGGCCTACCGGATAGTTACCGGATATCCGTTTCATCTCTATTCTGTACTAAGTAGGTATTGTGGTCCTGGGTCGTTTCCCAGAAGGCTACATCAGATGTATCTTTTGCCCATGGTTCATTAACGTTATAAATTATTAAGGTTTTCCATTCCATTCTTTTCTTTATTAAGCACTATTAAACATTTTTTCATTATAATATAGATTTTATTACAATATTAATGAGTAGCTTTTGCCCGCCGCGGCATCATCATCATCATCATCATCATCATTTCAGCCATAGGACGTCCACTGATGAACATAGGCCTCCCCCAATGCTTTCCACGTTGATCGATTGGTACCGGCCTGCGTCCAGCGCTTCCCTTCTACCTTTACGCGGTGGCTTCACCCGTGTGATAATTCGTTTGTCACAGATCGGCATAAAGTATAGCCTATATGTTATTCTGGGTTATAAACAATAATACTGAAAAGTTTCATCAAAATCCGTTCAGCGGTTTTTGCGTGAAAGAGTACCTAACAAACATCCAGACATCCAAACTTTCGCATTTATATTAATAAGACTAATTTGTTGTCCCATGTAACGCCGCGGGCAAACACTAGCTAGTATAGGTATGTAAAACAGATTCCAACTCACCATTTTTATTTAAAGTCGTTTAAAAAAACAAACGTGTGCTTATTCTGTATGTATTCTTTTAATATTTACTGTTTGACAATGATGTGACTGTACTCAACTATAAAAGGAATAATAAATGGTTATAATTTACCATTATACAAGGTGCAGGTGTGTGTGTAACTGGCTTGAAAAAACATCTGGAAGATGAAAACATCGATTGTCTTCACTCTTTTGGCCTTGGTAATATCCAAAATATTTTATTATCTAAACGCATACCATTTATACTTATGTAACTAGCTGACAAACTGCATACCGCCTATGTTAGGGCTGATTTTTCAACCGTCAGATAACTTTTAACTGAAGAATAAGTTTGGCACATTGACATTTTCAGTATGGAAAATATGCCAAAATGACAAGTTTATTCTTCAGTTAAAAGATATCTGACTATTGAAAAATCGGCCCTTAATCAGAAATAACAGAATTCTAATAGTGAAAGAATTTACTCTCTGTTTACTTTAAGATTTATGAAATTGCCGATTGTTTCTTCAATATTCATAATTATTATACTTCATTTAGAAATTTATGAAAACGGCTTGTAAAATCTAAAAATATCGAAAAATTTCTTATTATTTTGTTAATGATTGTTATAAATGCTAATTTTCAGATCGGAGTAGGCGCCATAATGGTGGCAGGTGATGGTAAGTTTATAAATCTGTTTATAATAAAACCATAATATTATTATTTATATTTATCATAAATCTAGTATTGTTAAACGCTCAAAACTACATAGTTTTAATCAGAGTTCAAGATTTTTTTAAACCGTCCCGCTAACCTTATTAATACGTGCTTAGGCACAAAATATTTTGTGAACTAAGGCTTTAAATAAGTATGCTTGTGTATGTACAAGTGAGTTCACCACACCACAATAATCCAGCAGCGGCGGGTTCGAACCCGCGTTCCTCTGATGTCAAGTCGACCATTCCGATTCCTTTCCACCAAAACTAATGTGGAATTTTGATTTATAATTTCAGATGTACCTTGTCCCGACGGGGATCCGAACGCGGTATACGTTGAATGTCCTTCGAACTGCCAGCCAACATGCCAGAAGAAGATACCTGATGAAATCTGCAATTTCGCGTGTCTGCCTAGACAATGCGTCTGCAAACCGGGTTATATTCTAGAAAAGAAAGATGGCAAGTGCATCCCCGAAAATAACTGTTAAAAACAAATAATAAAAACAATAATTTTTTTTATTATTCGTAATGATATTTGTATATTTATTTTATTAAAACAGAGGCAATAAAAAGTTATATTACTATATTATAATTTGTATTAACTAGTTTTTCTTTCTAGGCCACCTATGGCATAAATATTGATAGTTAAATTCAAAATCGATATTAGCGATCGTTTTAAGTTCAGTAACTATGAATATTGGACTATGGATACTTAGGGCATGCCCGGGAGTCGATTCACCAACCTCTTTATCGTCTCAGAGGCAGTGGGACGAGCCGCTTTGTTTGCGTTTTCAGAGTGATCTATTGGCTTCTTCTGAAAATGCTGCTGAGCGTGCTCGCCTACTAGCGGTCTTTCAGGCAGAGTCTGGTTACTGGCTACATGCTCTTTCTTCTGCTAATATTGGGACTCTGCTTGACAGGAACACTGTCTCTTGCGATTTCACTCAGACTTGGCGTCAAGACAAATCGCAGTCGTTGCGGTACTCACGTCGGTGAGTTAGGACACCATGGCCTCTCATGTCAAATGAGCGCTGGTCGAGTCTACCGACACGCCTGCATTAATGACGTCATCCGCAGTGCTCTTGTCGCCGTCAATGTGCCAGCAGTTTTAGAGCATAACGGCATATTCCTGCAAGAGACCTGACGTTAAGTATGACGCTCATGTCCTGGAAGCAGGGACATTCTCTTGTTAAAAAAAAACCAATGAAACGTTCTTTAAAAAAAATGTCAAGTATTTTTGTTGCAAAAATTGTGATAAAATAAATATAAATAAGTTTTTAGGCCTACAAATTGTAGAAGAAGTGTTTTAACTCACAATTTTTTGTGATATTTTACGAATTCGTAATAATTTATTATTATTACTGACGGGATTGCTTTGCTACCATCTACCTTAATTTTGAGTTTACATAATTTCGGCACTGTTGCAAGCGCCATGGTCACGGAGTAATAGTAATAATTATTATTTTAGTGACCATGAAAGTTTTAAAACAATAATATCGTAATAATATTTTCGTACACTGCCACCTGTGTTAACAAAATTCAAACTTCTCGTGTAAATGAAATTCAATACATTTTAATCATAAACGAAAATAATACACCTATTTGAGAATGTCGACAAAGTTATTGTAGATTTTTTTATAAATACACGTGTAGAAAATATGCAATGATTTTGTGAATAAAAGTGAAATAAAATTAAATGATTAAAGTAATACGTTCTTTATTAATAACAATATTCAATATACAATAAAATAATAATCTCATTTATTTTACATTATTATAACGTCATTTTAACAAACAATGTTATGAAATCGGCGTAGTAGTCGATTCGCATAAAATTCGTTCGCATAAATGTGCGAAACGTCCCCTCTCAATAATAATTATTGTAGTAGTTTTAGCCGGATGTATTAAAATCTCGTGTTTTTACTTTCTTCTTGTTTTTTTTGTGCTACTTACTGATTGTCATGGGTTTTTATATACCGATTTATTTTTTATGTTTTAATAATCATAACCAGACCACCAACCCCCGTTCTGACTAGGCCTGTGAGTAGTGTAGGAATTAATGCCATAATTATTATTATTATTTATGTTTCCTTGATTATATCCACTAACTTCTGGATACACTATTTTGTGATCATTATTTACATTATAATCATTATTGACTAATCTATCATTATTAAACTGCTGCCTATTATTATTTCCATAATTACTACTGTCCGTTACAATACTATAACCGCCATTATTTTGACTGTTTTGATTATTATTTGTATAATCATTATTATTTGCATTCCAGTCTGGATTGTTAAACTTATTTGTTGTCTGGCTGTTACCCCAATTTTGATTGTTAATATAACCACCGTTTCCGTTGTGATTATTATTTTGCTGGTTTGTATTCCACGCATGATTATTATTTGTATTTTCACGATTATCATTATTATTACCAACAGGGGGTCGAGGAGTTCTATTATTATTTGTGTTTTCACGATTATTGTTATTATTCCAGTTGTTATTAACAGGAGGTCGAGGGTTATTATTATTCTCGTTTCTGTCACTATTATGGTTAGTTGTGGATGTGCCAGAGGCTTTGCCGAAGACCTGGGCAGCTATGAAGGCTCGATGGAGGGTAGCATACAGAGCTGGTGTATTTGGAGCTCCACAGGATCTTCCGAGTGACGTGACAGCAACCACTCTCCACACGCAGCCATCTTGGATTTGAGCTGGGCCACCGGAATCACCCTGCAACAACAATGCTTTTGATTATTATGATAGTAGTAAGCTTTGATGTAGTTGGGTTTGACCGACTTCATAAAGTTTGATAGGGTCCGCCCTCGTAATCGCTTTGCTCTGAATATTTTCTTTGGTAGTTGACTTCAACCAATAATTGATCGTGACCAGTAGGCCTAAGATGCGCGCCGCGATAAGTGGTTATCACGCCATGTATCCCGTGGATCCCGTTTTACCCCCTTAAGGGTGGAGTTTCGTAAATACCGTTCTTAGTGAGCACCTACATTCTAAAAGGAACCCCCATGCAAAATTTGAGACTCCTAGCACTTGTAGTTTCTGAGATTTCGTGATGAGTGAGTGAGTCAATTATTATTATTATTATAAAACTTGATTGCACAATAAAATAGTACAAAAGGTGGACTTAATGCTATTTAAGCATTCTCAGCCAGTCGACCAGTGATCAATCAGTCAAGTGAGTCAATCAGTGACCTTTCGCTTTAATAGATATAGATATACTAGCGGCCGCCCGCGACTTCGTACGCGTGGATCCCGTTTTACCCCCTTCATCTATCTTACGCGGTTTAGATTTTTTCATACAAATGTTTTTTTTTTCGCTAAACCCGTTCCCGTGGGAATTTTGCAATATCTTGGTGTAACTAAGCTTTAAGTTTACTAAGGTACCTGCATGCCTTTCAAGCGTCTAACTTAATCGGTTTAGATTTTTCATACAAAAGGATTTTCCCGGTAATTCCCGTTCCCGTGGGAATTTCGGGAATTCCTTTCTTAGTGCACCTCTACGGTACCTAAGCTACGTCCCTTCCAAATTCCAAGTGACTACGTTTAGCCGTTTAGGCTGTGCGTTGATATGTCACTAAGTCAGTCAGTTTCTCCTTTTATATATTTAGATTATTTAGAAGATTCTACTAACCTGACAAGTGTCCTTCCCGCCTTGTTTTTCCCCAGCACAGACCTGGCTGTCAGGTGAGGGTCCGTTGGGCAGCTTCCGCGAGGTGCCGAGGACTCGGCCGCATTCGGATATATCCCAAATGGGGACTGATACACTGCGTAATTCTTCAGATTGGGTGCCTCCTGGAAATAAAGCATATTAGGTATAATAGTCATAGACTAAATCAGAGGGAAGATACGGCATTTACGCACTTCATCATCATTTCAGCCATACGATGATGATGATGATACAGATGCCAGCATTGACGACGGTGACAGGTGGACCCGAGCGTTTCTGTAGCCCTGCTGATGATGATATCAGCATTTCAGCCATAAGACGTCCACTGCTGAACATAGGCCTCCCCCAATGACTTCCACATTGCCCGGTTGGTAGTGGCCTGCGTCCAGCGCCTTCCTGCTACCTTTATGAGGTCGTCGGTCTGCTAATGATGATGATGATGATGCTTACCGAACTCGGTTCTGCCCCAGCCTGATGCGATGATGGGTTCTCCCACTCCAGGCGGTACGCCAAGACACGCTGGCTTCACCACTTGTGAGAATCTGAAATATTTGTAGTTACTGATGAATATTGGCAATTCTAGAAACATGATAGAGACACACTGGCTGAAATGGTAAAATGGAAATTGTGGAAGCAAAAAAATAAGATAATCATCACTAGAAACTAGAAGACAAAGGCCTCCCCCAAGGCTTTCCATAACGACTGGTCCTGCGCTGCCCGCATCCAGGTGCTTCCCGCGACCTTCACCAGATCGTCGGTCTACCTAGTTGACCTGCCTACGCTACGTCTACGTCTTTCGGCCCGTGGAAGCCCTTCCATAGAAGGCCTATTAATTAATGACAATGATTTGCATGCAAAAAATATTTAAACAAACTGCTCAGTTTGGGACTGGACGGCGCAATGGGAAACATAAATCCAATGCTGGAGGACTATGGGTCTACTGTTTACGAGTAGCTGAGCTGGAAGAGATATCGAGACCATTACAGTTTCTTATTTTAAAAGATAATTAAATAACATTTAGAATACTCACGTAACAGGCCTCACCATCTTCACAAGAGCTATATCGTAGTACGACCTCGTCATGACATACTTCGGATGGGTGACCACGGACAGGACCTTCATGACCAGCGCTCCTGTGTCGTCGAGGGTGCTAGACCCTAGCTGGACTACTCTTGGCGCTCCTCTGGAAAGCAAGCAGAAGTTCTAGAAGTCGTAGACGTCATAAGAAGCTGTTGACGTCATAGAAGTCGTGGAAACCATAGCAGTCATTTCTAAGTCATTAATTTTTGGCAATGAGGCTTCATTTTTCACGATCCAGTTAAACCCTACCATTGCATCAGGACCATAATGTACCTAAACCTTAAAATGACTTAAGTTTCTTGCGCTACTTCTTTACTGCACCCATACTGTGTACATGTGTTGTTCCGAAATAGTGGTACTATGAGGAATCGGTAGATACTAGATACCAAATCGGTATCTCCGCCGACAAAAATCCTGTAGTCATGGGAGGCTCTATAGATAGATGCATAGCTGGGCATTAACTCGTTAATCCGTTAATCGTTAATTAACGAAGTTAACATTTCTATTAACGGATTAACTTTTAAGTTAACTTTAAAAAATGTTAACGGACTCGTTAACTTCCGTTAAATTATCCTAAGTCCGTTAATCGTTAATCCAGTACCTACTATTTACCAAAAAAATTATAGCAGGCACACTGAAAAACGCTAGAAAAACACGTTCTGACAAGTACGTTCGGGCTTCCAGAACTTCCAGAACCCAAAACAACAGTTTTTGTAACCAGATCACTAACGATACTTGTTTGTATTTGTGGGACAACTCTTGCAACTGAATTTAAGACCAGTTTTCCTGAACCGATTGAGCTGAAATTTGGTATACTTATGTAAGTACGATGACAATGCAATGTTATGGTACCATTGAGCTGGTCTGATGATGGAGTCATGAGGTGGCCATAGGAACTCCTAAATGAAACGGCGGCATCGCATCGAATTTGGGTTCGTTGGATTTGTCTTTTCGAGCACTTTAGTACTAGATGATGTCCAGGGTCCTGATGATGGAGTCAGGAGGTGGCCATAGGAATTCCTAAACGAAACGGTGGAAACTTATCGAGTTTGGGTTTGCTGGATTTAAATTGTATTGTAATTGAACCAATGCTCTGAGATTAAGATACTACTTAAAAGTGTTTTAAACTTTTTTTAAAACAAGCTTTTATTCTGAAATGCAGTTGTACTAAAACGAAAAAAAATATTTGTACCTACTTATGCAAGGTTCAAATAATTTCTAAAGCTTGTAGCGCAAACATAAAAAAGGGGAATAAATTCCATGCGCGATACAAGCTTTCGAAATTATTTAAACTGCAATTGTATTAATTATATTATTAACGATTAACGTTAACTTGCGTTAAATCTTGCGAAATGTAACGTTTTAACGTTTAACGAAGTTAATTTTTTTATTAACGGTTTAACGATTAACGAAGTTAACTATTTGATTAACGGTGCCCAGCTATGGATAGATGAACCATCTTACTGATAAATATATTTTGTGAGTATTCAGTCAGCGTGGGGATTGTAGATCAAATCGTGCAGCGTAAGGAGTGCACCAGCATGAAGGCTAAATGACCTGATGATGCTTGTATGAGCATTAGAGTGTACTTACATGACAACAGTGTCGTCCTTCTCCTGGTAGGCGCAGTGGCCTGCAGTGAGAACGTATTGGTCGCTGATCAGGGAGCCTCCACACTTCCAGGAGTATCCTCCACCCTGGAATATTTACAACCATATTATTTAATACCTGTGATAATGATGCCCTAAATGTGCCCATTTACTTAGTTACTGATATTATATTTTATGATATTGAAGACGAAACCGATAAACGAACTAAAGTCGCTGACATAGCCCGACGGATCAAACTGAAGTAACAATGGGCAGGGCACACAGAACTGACGGCCTATGGGGCAGCAAGGTTCTGGAGTGGAGGCCGCGTACCGGAAAACGCAGCGTGAGACGTCCACAAGGTGGACCGACATCATAAAGGTAGCAGGAAGGCGCTGGACGCCTGTACCTCAGGAAATCATTGGGTCAGCCTCTTAAAGGTAGCAGAAAGGCGCTAAATGCAGGCCCCTACCTCATTATGGAAATAATTGGGGCCTATTTTCAGCAGTGGACGTCCTGTGACTGAAATGATGCTGATAAATACCTGTAACCTAGTCCAGCCGAGCAACGCCATGTGCGGGAACTCCTCAATAGTCACCACCCTTCCTCCAACCACCAGAGGAATCTTCGTGGGAGAGCAAGTTGTCACGTTGACTTGTACTGGCTGAGGTGACGGCAATAGAGGTATGGCTTCCACCTTCTTCACGTTTAAAGCTTTATATTTGTCGCACACTGGAAAGAAAATATTATGGTGGTAAGTCAAGCTAACTACATTTGGGACATGTAATATCGGCAGTTATAACTATCCATTTCCTTTTTTTTCTCACACTCTCATCAAACGGTGGTTTTTTGCGATAGAACGAGGCGATATGACCAGAAATTGAAAACTCGAATGTGGCCGATATATGTATACTATCGTGCCTTGAAAAGAGCCTACGTGTGCTAAAGAATTTGAATTTTAAATTGGTTGATGAAAAAGGATTGATGCTACTGCTCAAATGTGACAACTTTCCCTAAAGAAAGGAAATTCAAATCTCCCAAAAAAAAAACAATCTTCTTTTACAAATTGCCATTTTGAGAATTTGGATATTATTAAGTTGTTGCATTTGAGCAGAATGAATCAATACTGTATAAAAAGTGGCATTAAGGTCATAGCACACTTATCAACTCGGATAGGGATCAACGCGAGGCGAGGCGTTTACGTTACGGTGCGGATAAGTGTATGTTGCAGTACGGAATTTCATAGTATCAGCCTCGAGTTGATACGATTACGATCCGTTTCCGGTATAATAAGTGACCTTCGTCCTTTAGGCGACCATAACCCAACAGTGTCGGCATCGGACTTTCGCCAGAGATTTCAGGATCGCTAGTCAGATACCTATTTACCACTGGACTGTAGTGACGAACACAGTTATGTCTTAAAAGGCTGTCGTTTTTTTTTATCCACAACGAGGAAGCTCTTGGTCTGTAATAGTCTGTATCTCACCTGATGGTAAGTGATGATCAGGCCGAAGGTGGAAGCGAGCTTCACCCGGAATCCTCAACCACGGAGGAACTGGCTATCTTACCTCTAACTGCCGGAACACAACAATGCTGTTAATATTGTTGTTATGGCGACAGACTTAGGTAAGATGGTGGTAGCTAGCCAGGCGGACTTAGAACAAGCCCTACCACCAACCAAACCGAACAGAAAAATCTGCCCCCACTGGGAATCGAACCCGGGACCTCTGCGTCTGAAGCAGGTGGTCTAACCACTAGACCACCACCACAGTTCGCGGAGACTTTATGGATCTTACATATTTTCTTGATATCTCAGTATTATACTTACTTCGCTCAGCCAAATCAATGTATCTCCTCTTTTCTGCACTGCTCATCTTGTCTTCATCAGCTCCCACCACCACTTCAGGACTAGTATCCTTCTCCACTGGATACCTTATAGCACTACTATCAGTCGGCTTGGGGTACACAGCGAAAGGCCTAGTAGTGGCTGGCTTTATCGTAATAGGCCTCGCGACTTCAGGCCTTCTATTGACTGGCCTTGCAACTTCAGGCCTTTGAGTGTCTGGCCTTGGAAAGTCAGGCCTGACAGTGGCTGGCTTATTCGTTATTGGAGGCTGATTCGGGTCTACAGGAGCTGGTTTCACCCCAGGCCTGTGGTACAATGGATTGTGCGTTGTGAACAAATTGTATTCAGATCTGTTGTCATCGTATTCGATTTTAGGTTCGTAGTTAGGTTTATTATTGACGTTGTTAGGCCTGGAATTGGCTGTAGGCCTGTTTATAGCAAATACAGGTTTTTCAGTGACTAAATTGGGTTTATAATCAGCAACATTATTAGAACTTTCGTCGTAAAATGGCCGTTTATTATTATTTAATAATAACGATTGGTTCTTATTCTTATTGCTACTATTTCTATGACTAGAATTCTTGTGTTTCCTAACGGGCTTAGGAGTAGTGAAAAAATTTAGATTGAAGATTTGGGCTGTAGTGGTTGTTTTTCTTCTAGTTTTTGTTGTAGATCTAGAAGGTTCTCTTCTGTCGTTTGTGATGGAAGGTGGTCTTCTTTCTTCGTCGCTGTCATTTCTGATGAAGCCTTCAAATAACGGTCGGTTTTCTAAGAATTCTTGTGGGTAGATGTTCGGTCTGGCAGTTTGTAAGTTGTATGGCTGGTAGCTTGAGAATAAATCTGGAAAGAATAAAGTTTATTTTTAAAGAAAAAGCTTCATATTAGATTAAAAAGGACACTCGAAGCTCAAACCGAACTCTGGAAATAATTTATACTACCTATGGTCGGTGGAATTTATAGACTTAAAAAAGTATTGATTTACAAGATATTTTATTAATAAACCTACCTATATTCGATTGCAAAGTGAAGTAATGTTTTGTAGATTTGAATAATATAATGCATTTATTTACAAAATTCACTGTTTCTTTTGTCGCAGATTAAGTACTCTATACGTTACTATTGATATGACAAAGGTATACTAAGGGCAGAAAAGTTCTCGAGTGACGACCCCGGGCCCTAAGACGTAGCGTGGGCATTCCTCCCACTAGGTGGACCGACGATCTGGTGAAGGTTGCGGGAAGAGCCTGGATGCGAGCAGCGCAGGACCGTTCGTTATGGAAATCCTTGGGGGAGGCGTTTGTCCAGCAGTGGACGTCATTTGGCTGAAACGAACGAACGAATTAATATAAAAATGCCTAATTGTTGTCCCTACAAAGAACATCTTAAATGAAGAAGGTTTTTAATTAATATTCATTTGAATCGACATTCCTTAACAAGGAAAAAGGTAGGTCAGTGGAAAAAAGACCATAGATTCTTTTTTGACACCACAAAGTGGTTTATCCACTCAATATTTTAAGTAAGTTATGTTTAATAACAAGTTTGTTTTGTAAATAAAACAACAACGCGGTATTTTTGTGCAACCTAAAAGAAAAGAATAGTGTTTTTTAAATATTGACTTAGATTATTTTAGTCCTTCGCCACAGCCTTTCCTTCTACTTTATTCAACGCCTTTTTACTTCATTTAAACAATTTCGTCTAGGTTGTCTGAGGAGATCGCTTCATAGCGATAAGACCGCCTAAGTTGAGGCTTCTCTTTTGTCCATTTCTACCTTTTCTTGATTTGTGTGTGTCTATCGGACCGACGACATCGTAAAGGTAGCAGGGAAGCGCTGGACGCAGGCCGCTACCAATCGATCAACATGAAAAGCATTGGGGGAGGCCTAGATTCAGCAGTGGACGTCCTATGGCTGAAATGATGTGTGTCTATCTATCTATAATAATATTCTTCTCTGATCACCAAGCGTAAAAAAGAAGCGAGATCCAAACTGAGGACCAAAATGAAGATCAAAAGTTTCAGTTCTATGCAATTGCTTTAAGATTTTGTCGGGCGTTTACTTTTGAATAAAGTTTAAAATAAACATAAGAATCAAGGTAAACCACTGTGGCTTCGTAGTATGTAGTCATTACTACTAACAACCTACTAACCAGCCAACCTTGGAAGTCATTGGGCAGCCTATGTTCAGCAGCGGACGTCCTGTGTCTGAAATCATGATTACTTACTTTATTTTTTAAGATTATTAGTAATTTGTTATTACACATATGACTAAAGTCCCGTTAGCCCCTCGTACTGAGCTAAATATGCTTGTATCACGAGTCCGCGTACCGAAAAACGCAGCGTGCGACGTCCACCTACAAGGTGGACCGACGACATCGTAAAGGTAGCAGGGAAGCGCTGGACGCAGGCCGCTACCAATCGATCAACGTGGAAAGCATTGGGGGAGGCGTATGTTCAGCAGTGGATGTCCTATGGCTGAAATAATGATGATGATGATGATGATGATGATGATGATGATGATGATGATGATGATGATGATAATGATGATGATGATGATGATGATGATGATCACGATCACGAGTGAGCTCACCTTCCCCGGATCACGAGTCGGCCAGTCCGTCCGACCCGTTTTACCGTTCGGCTATCCGCGTAGCTTCATACTTATTTATATTGTAAGAAGCAGCAGTGCAAGAATCTTAGTAACTCAGACTACGAGTATAATAACAAATCGACTGGATCCATGGATAATATCCATTGGATATAGTAATCAATTAAATCTGTTTTATTTCGAATACGCATATTTACAACCTACTATTTTTGCTCATCCATACCACCACTTGACCTAAGCGACTTTGAAACCTTTAAGCACAAGGTAGAAAATCAATTGAATCCCTCATGCTAGGTACTTAGTCTTAAGTAAATAATAAAGTTATTTTTATACTCTGTTCTGTAGGTTCTTTACGCCATTATATGCAAATTTACCACAAAGGGCGTGGAATCTTTAACTTGAGCGTTTACGTCAAACGTTTATTGAAAATACACGTTTTATTGTTGGCGTAAAACCACAAGTTAAGAAATTACTTTTAAAACTCGATTCAAACTCAGTTAAAGCTTTATTCCTTTGATTGGTCTAAATATTATGTAATTAGAATGAGAACTATCGTCTTCTAGCCCGTGGTCGCTGACAGTGATCTATCAACGCACAGCCCAAACCACTGGACGGATCGGGCTGAAATTTGGTATGCAGGTAGATGTTAAGACGTAGGCATCCGCTAAGAAAGGATTTTATTTTATTTTATTTTATTTATTACGGTATACCAACAACATTACATACAAAGTAATTACATGAAAATCTTACATATAGAAGTTTAGTGTGTATGCATGCCAATAACAGGTACACACATTTTACGAAACTCCACCCCTAAGGGGGTAAAACGGGATCCACGAGTACGAAATCGCGGGCGGCCGCTAGACATAATAGAAGAAATGTATCTAGTACCACAAAATAATAATAATATCTAAGTTATTTTTACCAGTAGGTACTTACCATAAAATTGTGAGTGCACATTGTTTGTCATAGAAAATATGGATAGAAGTATGATGGTCCGTCTTGCCATTATGTCACCATCTGGAACAATGTAAATTATGTAAATGCATTGCAATTATAATAGTTACAAATCAATAATTAAAATAAACATAACATTTTCAAAAGTAGACAACACATCACATAACAGTTTTTGCCCACGGGCGAAGGCCCACATGAAATTTAGCTTGTCACAGATCGTTATAAATTAATTATAGCCTGTATCTTATTCTGATGTAAAATAAACAATTAAGGTCATAGCAAACTTATCAACTGGTAAAAGGATCAACACCGTATCGCCTTTCGTCGCCGTAGGCATCGCCATAGGCATTTACGTTATAGTGCGGATATAAGTGTGCTTTGCAGTAAGTACATGGAGTTTCATACAAAGAATACTGACCGCCTCGAGTTGATACGGTTACGATCCCTTTCCGGGTTGATAAGTGTGCTACGTCCTTAATACTGTAAAGTTTCATCAAAATCCGTTCAGTCGTTTTTGCGTACATCCACACAAACTTTCGCATTTGTATTTGTAGGACTAAAAAAGGCAACACGCAATAAAGAAGTTACCTACCTATATCAGAGCTTGTTTATTATTATAAAAAAACATAACATAATAAAATAATCACATAATTAAAATACTTTGGCGTGTTAATCACATAAATGAGTACAAATATGCACATATTAATCAATTGTGTATCTTAATACGTGGACACATAATACAATACCCATTGCATAATGGTTGCGGTTTGTATTTATTAATAGTTTATAATATGTATAATAAGATTTCAAGGTGTTTAATACTTCCTATCCGTTTAAAGATACACATGCATGATTAAGTTGTTAATCATGATTTCCTGACTATCATCACCAGCTTAAACGGTTTAACGGGACTATTCCCACCTCTCGTTCCCACCGCTGCAACTCCTGTGTAGCCAGGATCTACAGCTTGACCGTCAATAACCCAACTAGTGAAGGTCAAGTTTGTCCCGGGGGAAAGTTAAACTGTCATTGGACCCGCAACGAAATTAATCAGGAGAACATACTCATAACTTCCCCTTATCGTAAAGCTGGGGTTCCGAGCTTGAGAGTGCACATTTTCTACATAAGGATGAATAATTATTTTAATAGGAAAAAGAAGATGAGGAAACTTAACCCAAATATCTAAACACAGAAACTACAGGGTTTTGTTTCCACTGCAGGAGACGACCCTCTCTAATTTCTGCACTCCCTACGCTCTGGCCAGACGGGTTGGGGTTTTCCGACTATATTGTGTGTGTGTACTTTACTTGGAATTTGATTGTAACTATAAATGTTATTAGTAATCATTTATCAAAGTACATCCTCATTAATTGTAACCGACATGTTTCAAATCAATTCTCACTAAATTACTATTGTGGCGACGCCACTACAAACTAGTGACCAACAGATGGCGCTGTCACTACTTCACTATGGCACACTCCGCCGCTCATACAAACCTGCATCGCGGTGACGGAGTTTTAGATCCTGCCAAAGTATATATAGACAAACCAAGATGGTGTAAATTGGACCTTGGTCCCCGAGCACAACACCCGCTCGGAAGGAAGCACTAACATCTAGCTTCCTTATTGTGGTTGAGCATCATATCCCACATTGGTGACCCCGACGTGATTGGAACGTGACCTTCCATCACCACCATCTTCGGCATCAGCCTCCGCCATCCTCACCATCTCCGCCCTCCTTCATCAGCTCCAGTCTTCAACAAGCCAGCATCCAGCCTTCAGGGACCATCGCAGATCGCAACCGACCTTCCTGGTTCCTCGGCAGCAAAAGCAACCGTCACTTCACTGGTCACGGGTACAGCTCTGGCCCAGCTCCACGCCCGACCATCGAAGACGCCTCCGCTCACTATCCCGACTCACCGTGGATANCGCACGAAAATGTAAAATGGCTCTTAACACGTTGGCCTACCCTCACAGGAACACGACGGTGGAAGACTTCTACAAGTTCTCGGCGAACGGTTCCACAGCGCTCGGGTACTACTACCTGAACAACTTCGACAACATCGTCACGAGCGGCGTGACTCTCTTCGAGCTGACGGTGGTCAACAACTGGTTCATACTCATGAATGCTTACGCTACGGTTGCTGGACAGTTTAGCAGGATCTATTTTATGGTCAGTATATTAACAAATTCAAACCTTTGCATACTTTTAGGCTCGTGGGCAAATAAGAATTTTCTTGAAGGGTGCATTACTAAGTAATCATAAGCAATAGAGTCAGAGGGTTTAGCGCTCCGCGGTTTAGTCACTTTCGGGCTGCCTTTCTCCACCGTGATTAGTGTTGTAAAAATTTACATTTTTTGACGTATTTATATTCATTGACGTGACTAGCTAGGAGAATATAACGGTAGGTCTTAGCACTGAGTACCACTGATTTGTACTTAATATGGCAGGTGAAATGAAACTAACGTTAATAAAAATGAGTTTCAGGAGTGATCCTTCTGTTCATTGCTGTGACTATTAAGATTAAGTATCAGGGGATACGAGCGAGTTGACTTGGCGATTTACGGTCTATAAGGATTATTAAACCACATGTGCACTCATTGCACATCGCACGCACCACACATGGTAGACATTTAAGTGTCCACATGCAGTACCTTACTTACCCTGAAGCTCACTTAGTCGAGGTCGTCATTGAGTACTTATCTGGGGGCACGGCAGTGCCCCCACCAAGTCGAGCAAAAAAGCGGCACGGCCGTACCATCCTTTTCTCGAAGCAATTCAGGCCATTTTCGACCGCCTGTAACATTCATTAGCTATGCAGGCATTGTAAAGACACGGTATATTTAAAATTTCATTCAATTTGAACCAGTAGTTTAAGAATTATAACGGGTCAAAGTTACTTAATTTTGTCACTCACTGACTCACCGATCATCAAAATTCTAAGGCACTTCTAGCAGACCTAGAAGCTTCAAATTTGGAATATAAGTAGTGTTTGGTGTATGAATCAAGGAAAAACTAAAATATTTGGGGGCACGGTAGTGCAACCGCCAAGTCGAGTAAAATTTTTCAATTTCGGTCCAGTTTTCTAGATACATAACTGCTGTCTACAAAATACAAAAAGAAATGAGATCCCATCAAAAACAATACTTGTCAAAAAAACCAAGTCTCGCAACTCAGTTGTTCTACGGTAAAAAGTTGTGAGATCCATGTAATACCAAGTCCAGGCCAGGAAATCTTTAACGTTTTACATAAATATATTGACTTGGCCATCGCATGAAAACACGTGTAAATTAAATTATTTAGTGCGATGGCCAAGTCAATAATTTATGTAAAACGTTAAAGATTTCCTGGCCTGGACTTGGTATTACATGGATCTCACAACTTTTTACCGTAGAACAACTGAGTTGCGAGACTTGGTTTTTTTGACAAATATTGTTTTTGATGGGATCTCATTTCTTTTTGTATTTTGTAGACAGCAGTTATGTATCTAGAAAACTGGACCGAAATTGAAAAATTTTACTCGACTTGGCGGTTGCGCTACCGTGCCCCAAATATTTTAGTTTTTCCTTGATTCATACACCAAACACTACTTATATTCCAAAAGACAATGCCGGAAATTGGCGTCTTTTTTTTTTCGCGCGGCCATCGACCAAACTTTGTTTTTTTATTACAAAATAGTATACCTATAATTTAGGCGGTATAAAGCGATCTCTACCAGACAACCTATTTATTTATTTTATTTAAGGCACAGCTACAGAGAACAAACAATAACAATACAATTAACACAACAACATATCACAATAGTCTGACAAGATATTATAACAAAAGTCAAAAATTAAATCCCTTTCCAAGGATGATGGTCATGGTACTGCAATGGAGCTTTTCGGATAAAAATATCTTCTAGGAAAAGGTGCAATAGGAAAATGATAAAATTATCAACAACAAGTGGAGAAATCCTATACAAATGAAAGTGAACATTGAGATAAAATTACAGGGTAAGCAGTTGCTTTACTCGGCTGGATTTATTTAAACCGGTGTGCCACTAACCAGACAATTATCGGCAATTCTCGACATAATTATGCATGTCTTAACCACTACGAATTCCATACAATACCATGTGAAAGTACTTGGTAGGATTTCATTCAATCATGTCAATCAACTATCATTTTCCATTGTAGATCCCCGAACTGTTTCGTCAATGAGTTGGTTCTCATACTCATGAACCGGGTTGTGCGCGGGCGCAGCGCTATCGTGTTTGTTCACAAAACAGCGGCGACTTTTGAAGCGCGTGAGATAGTGTGGCGACGAAAAGGTGATAGTGATAGTAGAGTTAATGAGAACGCTAATCATTAACTTAAATCAATTTGGTGATGACACATCTGTGAATTTGAATACGTAGTCTTGATTAAGAAGTTTTAGGGTCACTACTCACTGCTTAATGACTATCTATGTCGATGTTTATTGTCGTGAGATCCCTTGTCACAGATGCAATTGTGATAGTAACTGATGCTCTTATCTCATCATCAGTTCCATCAAATTAAAAAGGGTCACTGGACGAGCTTTTTGAGAAGTATTTTGATAAGTCATTTGAATATTATAATGTTTCTTTTGAACCCCAATCCCATACAACAGAACAGAAAGCGTTAAATAAGCATGTAAATAAATGTACAATTAATGATTTTGAGCACTGTAATTTCGCACGAGTATAATCATAAATAAAGACATTTCGCTGACAACACTCGTTTACTTAAGAACATTTTCCTTATAACTTACTTTAGCGAGTGTAATATGTAATTTCGGTAATTACACAAAATATCACATGGAAGTAACAACAGAAAGTGTAGAGAAACCATTGGTACTATTACAATGCATTTAAAATTATGCTCCAATGAATGACGGCGGAGAAAAGATCTAGAAAACAGCGCGATCGCATGCGTCGATTAATTAACGCGGGCACAGTAATTATTGTTATTTTATAATGTTGTGGTAAGACAGAAGACATGGGTATTGCTTATGCGCAAAAAGACGAGTCCCGACTGGCCACGCGTCGGCAAGTTTCGCGG